ATGTGTTATCACCTTTCCTGTGACTGGTATCTGGCTTGATTATCCATTTTTGCTTTAATTCTAGTAAATTGCTCACCCATTAGGATTAAGTTCCTTCCTTAAATTAAGAATTGTGACATGAAGGTTACTTAGCAGCATTTTGAGTTACCACAAAATATACAGTCAATTCACTTTACTGTATGTTCTGTGAAGCCCTTCAAGACGTGATAAGGCACTATATCAAATGCAAGGAGTATGATTATTATTAAATTTTGATTGCATAATTTAGTCCTTTTAATTTACTATTTTGCAATTGTTTCTGACAGACAAAAGGCAAAGCACATTAAGTTGTCACTGAAATGCAGCGATGTGGTGCTGTGTGAATAGAAGAATGAACGATGACTGCTCCTCTTCTGGGTCAGTCACCATTTCGTAGTGCAGCACCTGAGTGTCTATGTCTGTTGGCGATTGGCAACTATTTATAATGCAGATGGATGGTACATTTACATCAAACAGACATGTGTGGCCCCAAAGCTAACATGCCATCACATTCTGATGCTAGAATGTCAGAGTTGTCAGAAGCGATTGAGGAGTCCTGTTGCACATTAGGTAGAGCACTCGCCTCGCAAGTGAGAGGATCTGCGTTCGATTCCCAGCCAGGGTGAAATGTTAGGTAAGTTTCCTTACTCCACACGTCTCTGTTTACCTAGCAGTAAGTAGGAAACCAGTTGTTACTCGATTGACGGATCGCTTTTCCAGGATAAAAATGCCTTAAAAATAATATTAATAATTTGGCCACTAAATCCACAAATGTTTGTGTGTTACTCCTAGGCGCAATTGGCTGCCGCGTTTCGCCCACAAAATATACAGTCAATTTACTTTACAGTATATTTTGTGAGGCGCTTTGAGACATCTCAAAGACGTGATAATGCCTTCCCCTCCCCTCTCCCCCCGACCCCAACTTGGGTCTGAATTGCTGTACACTGTCCAGTGCCTTGGGATGTCCTCCCGACGTGAAAGGCGCTATACAAATGTAATCTTGTTGTTGTTGTTGTTGTAATGCGCTATATCAAATGCAAGGATTATTATTATTATCATCTGAATTATTTTCAATGAACAGAGCAGATATGTTGAGGGTTTAGCCACACCTGATGGAACTAGTGGCATGGGTTCAATAATTGGATGGCCTGAACCCAAGGCCTTGGGATTGAACAGTAAAAAGTTTTTTGATGGCCGGGGATTTTCCCCCCTCCTTGGTAGATCGTGACTGCAATAAAAACAAATATAAAGAAGTAGAAATAAATCTTCTCCGGAGGCTATAAACTTAACATTTAACAACAGATCACCTAATATTTTTCAAGATGGTGGTTTCAAAAATATATACATGGGTCATGGAATCAATTGATCTTTATTGCCATATCATTAATCATCAAAGTATACTGGTGCAAACAAAAAGTAAAGCAATGTAATTAATACCATTTTACTCATGCCCATATCTATATCACTTCCAAAGCATAAGCAAGTGTGTATATAAACTGTCATTTCTATGAAGTGCTTTGAGACGTCTAGAAAACATGCAAGATGCTATGTCAAATGCAAGAATTATTATTATTATTGATTAGAGCATTATGTAATGATACAAAACTAGTTGGTAGAAAGTAAACAATTGCAATCAGAGGGGTCTGGCAGCTGAGTTTTGGAGTCGAACATCAACAAAATTGAAGTAGGTTTCATGAAGTGATAACAGCAGAATCAGCATGCTGGTCATTTAAAAGATGTTGGGGATATTCAGAATTATTTCTGCTCACTGGACTCACCCACTCTTCTCTCCACAAGCTGCGGATTATTCAGAACCCCCATCCTTGCCAGATTCCACTGGCTCCCCATCCCCCAGAGGATCAAGTTCAATGTTCTCGTCCTCACTTTTAAAGCCCTCCAAGGTTTTGCCCCATGCTACCTCCACGATCTTCTAAAACCCTAGTCCCCCCACCGCCCACTCCCTCCTCTCCCTCTGCTCAGCAGGCAGAGGTCTGTTCACTTCCCCAGCTCTGCCATCCCCACCATCAGTGGTAGACCTCAGCCTTTCTGCCCCACACTCTGGAATGCCATCCCTGAGAACCTCTACTTTGCCCCTTCCCTCGTCTCCTTCAAGGTCCATCTCAAGACCTCTCTCTTTTTGCCTTCCCTTCAATCATCCTCCCACCCCCACCCCCTTGGATCCACCCCTCTTGAATCGAACTCCCAGTTTGGGCGCAAACCCTCGACTGTCCAGAGTATTGGGATATCTTCCAACTGAAAGATTTTGTATAAATGCAACTTTTCGTGCCACAGGTGCAGCACATGGCGTGGTATGGCACAACCGCTGGGCTCAGAACTTAAGTGTTAGGATTATTATTATTATTTGTGCCCAAGATAGAAAGTCTTTACCTGTAAATGACTGCAAATTTTCTTTCTATTAACTCCTGCAAAAAGGCTACTGCTATTAGGCACGGCCACCACTTTCTGTTCAACGTTTCATATTGTGTTTTTTTTGTTTGTTTGTTATTTAAAGGGAAGCAATGCGAGCCCATGGTTTTAAACTTGGTTTTAAAAAAATTATTGGGTGAAAAATAACCCTTGATGGAGTGGGAGAAGGTGTTAACAATCTTCCAGTGGCTCAAACACTCGCTGACCAGGTAAACAAGAGACGCAAGTTGTATTCCAAAATACACAACAGAACGCGGTGTTAACACTGGACTCTTAACTCACAAATTTATTTATCTTTTGATCGATCTGTGAAGTGCCCTGTGATGTGAGGGCACACTGTGGCTCTCTTTAAATCAAAGAGCTTTTGCTTTTCAAGTCTACAGTTGACCCTACGTTGTTGGTCTTTGGGGATAAACCAGAATCTGCCAGGAATTTAATTTGTTTCCAAAAGCATAACAGTTCTGCAACATTCAATGACATAAAAATAGATGACAATGTGAACCTCAGAGTAAATGAAGAACAATTTTGAAAAGAATGTGGAGGAATTGAAGAATAGTGAGTATAATAATCGCTCCAAAACAAAAACAATAATAAATTGGTATTTCAATCCACGACTGTTTGTGGGACATTTCGCCCAAAAATATACAGTCAATTCACTTTACATCATATTCTGTGAAGCGCTTTGAGACGTCGAGAAGACGTGAAAAGCGCTATATCAAATGCAAGGATTATTATTATTATTAAATTGACAGTTTGAACAAAGATTCAGCATATCCTCTCTGTGCTCTTCCCCCCTCCCCCCGAATGTCTAGCAATTTGGCGTTTTGAGAGGTGGTATCCTATATACATCATTCATGTTATGTGTAAAGAGAAAGAATCTTATCAATAGTGCCTTGGTTGTAAGCTGATATCCCTACATGTCTAAGGCTTCTGATAGCCTCAACTCAGTGGGCAGAAAGAGTCTCCTCTATGCTGGCTACACAGACTCTCCAAGAGACAAGATATTTATGGCTGAAAGCAGCGATGGCTGATATTAACTAATGTTTGACTTAAAATATCTGCTGCCCAAACCTCACTGGACACTAGCTTGGAGCTTGTTAACACTAAGACCTGAGGCAATTCCCACGTTCAGGTTCACATGCAGAGAACAGCAGTAATCAAGGTTTTCAACCACAATATTGCTTGCTGTCATCAGCCCAGGTTGATACAAACAAAAGTCACTGAATAACAATAACAATGATTTATGTTTCATTTTTGACATTGGGGGGACATTTCAAAGCTGATTGGGAGCCTCAGTGCATGTGCTGAAGAAGTGGGAGGATGATCAAAAGCCAAAGTCAAAGTCCTTTTTAAGGCAGGGTTTAAAGATGGGGAGGATTCAAGGTGGGAAGAATTCTGGGATGGAGTTCCAGAGAATGGAGTAGAATGGCTAAAGCTTGTCACTGATAGTGGAGCAGATTGGGGGGCAGTGGGATATGAAGCGTGCTGGTGTTCGTTGAGTAGAGGGAGCAGCCTGATTAGCAGAGTTGCAGTTCACAGTCAGTTCCTAAATCTTGGCCAATTGTTATCCTTTCTTATCTCAGGGTTGGCTAGGTCAATTTGTAATGTTCCAAATGCTGCCCTGGTTGAAATCAGCAAACTCACTGTAGATCAGGGATCAGGAATTAAACTTGGGGCCTTGTGAAGAGTGGATGGCTCAGTATACTTAGTATCATACAGAGCCAGACTGGGATTTCAATGGCAAGCTATGAGGTGTTAGCTATACCAATAGACCCCAAAGCACATTCTGGGATCCCCAAGGCTTGGCACTTGCCAACATACGCTGAATACTCTCTAGAATTAGAGAGTGTTGTGTTCCTCCAGGGAAAGAATGTGCATTCTATTCTAGACAAGTAAATTTCCATATGTAGGTACCATACATATGTTGTGGAGTCCTGTAGCTTAGTAGTCAGAGTGCTCATCTTGCAAGCAAGAGGATCTGGGTTCAATTCCCAGGCAGGGCGAAACGTTGGGCAAGTTTCCTTAGTCCACATGCCTCTGTTTTGCTAGCAGTAAGTAGGAACCTGGTTGTTAATCAATTGGGTTTTCTGGGGGTAATAATCCCTTAAAAAATAATAATTTGATCACTCAATCCAAGACTGTTTGTGGGACACTGGTGTGCACTGTGTTTCGCCCATAAAATATAGTCAATAAGGCACTTATTAGGATAAGGGCAAATACAAGGATTATTATTATTATATGTGGAACTTCAGTCTGGTTTGGATGCTCTTAAGCATGTGATGGGTTTCTGCATTTGTCAGACACATGGTTGGCCAAACAAATATTTGAGCCACGTGTTAACAAAATTCACATTATGGAGTCAGACTAAAATTCAACCATAACCACCTACTGCTGTCTGTTATTCTGTGGCTTTACTTGGAAATGTTAAGTGTTTGGAATTCAAGTGAGGAAAAGATTTTACCTGGCCATAATGGTAAAGGGTCCACCATTACCCATTAACTATACCCCTACATGGGCCACCGGTTTGAGGAGCAAAACAAATTAGGAAGAAGATTGGAGCCAAGTTATTATTTTACTGAGAAGATGAGCATAACAGAACACTGTCAGAACATAGACCTGTATAACCACTTGTCAAACATGGGTCAATCTTTGGTCTCAAATATGATGAAAGAGATAACCTGCAATCAAGGAGGACACAATTGCAAAAGGGGTGATCAGAAAAGACCAGCCATATTGAGTGTTGACATTCACTGAATGTGAACATACGTTCATGGACGCAGCGATCTTGGACTGCAGATCTGTTAGAGACTGAATCCAAATGATGTAGATAATGATGGAACAGATCAACAAAATACCTGAGAGCAAACAAAAAAAAGGAATTAATGCCTTGTGAAAGCATTCATATTTTTACGAATCAATTCTGTATAGATAAATGACTTCTCACAGTATAATCTTTGCATTTGGTATAGTGCCTTCCAGGTCAGGGGGACGTCATAAAGTGTTTCACAGGATTTTATTATGAAGTGGAGTGACTGTTATTCTGTAGGTGAACACAGCAACCAATTGGGACCAACAATGTCCCACAAGCAGCCATAAAATGAATGATCAATTTTTTGAGGAAGGGAGGATTGTTGGCCAGGACACTCCCTTCTCTTTTTGAATAATGCCATGGGATCTTTAATATGCACCTGAACTGGCAACTGGGACCTAAAGACTGTATAAGTTTAAATCCTGACTTGAGGCTTGAATCCATAATCTTCTGACACAGAGATTAAATCAGATTAACACACAAACATCTATCAAATGCTGTCGGATAAAATTGGTCATTTGCTCCATTACAGTTTGTGTGACATTGCTGTGAGCAAATGCTCCTGTTTTCACCTATAAATGTTCTTTAAATACACTGCACTTTACAGTAAATTGTGTGAAGTGCCATGACCCGATCTGCCTTCCCCACCTCTACATCATTGCCTGGCTCCGCCACTGCTTCTGCCCTCATCCACACATTCATCACAACTAGGCTTGACTATGCTAACTCCCTGCTTGTTGGTTTTCCTAACTCTTCCCTCTACAAGTTGCAGATATTCAGAACTCTGCAGCCCTTTCCCTCTCCTGCACCAGGCTCTGTGACCCTATCAGCCCCATCCTAGCCCGGTTCTACTGGTTCCCCAATCTCCCAAAGGATTAAGTTCAAAATCCTCACCCTTGCTTTCAAAGTTCTTCATGGCCTTGCTCCTCCCTACCTCTGTGACATGCTAACTCCATGTAGACCTGTCCGTTTCCTCTGCTCAGCGGGCTCCAGGCTACTCCATTTTCCCCCACCTGGCTGCCCACCACCAGCCCTTTGGCCCCCACCCTTTGGAACTCACCCCATACCTCGCCTTCTTCAAGGCCCATCTCAAGACCTTCCTCTTCGACCTCGCCTTCAGTCACCCTCCTATCCGCACCCTCCATGCCCTCTACCCCCTGCTGATCCCAACCCTCAACTCAGCTCCAAATAACTGACTTTAGACATAAGAATCTGTTCCATTTACTGGAATTCTGCAGGTCAAAGTTCCTTGTTATAGCAAGTTTAACTTGAGGCTTGTTAATTTTTAACCACTTTTCCTGCTCTATAAGCCAAGTCAAACATTCCAGTCATCTCCAGCTGTTATAATTAATAGACTGCTGAATCAAGACCAACTCAATTTTCTTTTCTGCAATGGAAACAAATTCAGCTCTCTGAGCGTATCCTTAATACCCAGGATCCTAAAACCTTACTGTTATCTGAGGCACATAATCATATTCCTGTTGCCATCTCAGGAGCATTTCACTTTATTGCAGTGTAATAATAATAATCCATACATTTGATACATCTCAAAGCGCTTCACAGGATACTGTTTAAAGTGCAGTGACTATGTATTTTGTAGACAAACTTGGCTGCCAATTTGTTTACATTTCAATTTTCCACAAACAGCTATGAAGTGAATAACCAATGTTTTGGGAGAGATTGTAGGCCAGGGCACCAGGTGAAACTCCCTTCTCCTGTCAGGACGTAAACAAAATCTTTAACATCTACCTGCACAGGCAGACGGTTTAATGTCTCATTTAGAAGCATAGAAAAAGGAGTAGGCCATTCAGACCCTCGAGCCTGTTCCACCATTCTATAAAATCATGACTGATCTGTACCTCAAGTCCAATTACTTGCCCTTGCCCCACATCCCTTAATACTCTGACCTAACAAATGTTTCAAGCGCAGCAAATTGGTGTATCAGCCTAGGCTGTAAGTTCAGCATCTTTCATGCTAGTCTGCAACTCAATCTGTGCATGTCAAATACCTGAAAATGTATACTTACCAGCAAGAAAGAAAAATCGCCCTCCCATTCGGTGCAGGGTGTCTTTGCCAGTGAAACCTTCATAAGTGATGAGTGCAAATCCAATTCCAATAATCAGTACAGCAATTATCATCATTGCACTCCATGCGTGACGGTAGCCTGTCAACACAAGCAGACAATTAGATGGAATGGCATAAATGTCAAACAAAGCCTCATTCAATATAATTACCAATCACAATGAACAGTTATGCTATATGTTTTTTCCCAATTTTATCAATTGCTGCGATTTAAACAAAGTTCAAACTGCAAACAAGCACAGTTCAATTTCTGTGGTGGCATATATTCAATGAACAGTGAACATCAGTTAGTGAGTGCTGGCCTGGATTGAAGTGACTTTCGGCATGAATTTGATGACCTGGAGATCCGAGACATTTTAGTGCTGGAGCTGGCCAGCGCACTGAATTGAACCACACCCTATTCACTATGAAGTGGATATGAACAATAATAATAATCCTTATATTTGGTAGAGCGCCTTTCACTTTGTCCCAAAGTAGTTCACAGGATACTTGATTTTTGTGGATGAATTCATATTTTCAATGCCACAATTCATTTTGATGTAGATTCCACGGATGATGGAGGGGTTGGAGATGTGAGGAGTGATTAGATAACTGGGTATGTTCACACTGGAGAAGAGAAGGGATGATATGATTATGATCCTTAAAATTCTGAAGGGAATAGACAAGGTAGACCATGATAAGTTGTTTCATCTTGTACTGAATAGTGCAATCAGAGAACACAGCCTGCAACTGAAATCCAAAACAAATTTGCGGAAACACTTCTTCAATGAGAGTAGTAAACTTATGGAATAGTCTCCCTGGAGAGACAGTGGAAGCAGAACATGTCATTTGTTTCAAGAACAAATTAGATATATTTCTGCTAGAAAATAATATCTCGGGATGCAGTAAATAGTTTGGGACACGATATGTCAAGCGACTGTCAGGATGGTGGAAGGCGAACTAGATGGACCTTGATCTTCATTCGCCTCGCAAGTTCTTATGTTCTTATGCACAATATGGAATGAAAAAGGGAGAGTGGCACTAAAAGGGAAAGAATTGAAAGGGCATCCAATTTGGTAGAACCCCAACTGGAGACTGAGCTCCCATTGCAATCTGAAGACTAACTCCATATTAAAAGGTCATGACAGTGCTGCAGAGCACAGGAGTAGAGTCAGGACTTGGAAGCTTAAAAAACTGACTACGCCCTAATCTCTGGAATACCCTCCCTCTACCCCTCCCGTCTTTACTCCTCTCTCATTCTATGTTTAAATCCTGCCTAAAAGCCTGCACCTTTGACAATGCTTATGGTTACCTACCCTTTCTCCCTCACTTGGGTCTGATCCCTTCCTTGTGAATCCCTGCATTGGGGGAAATGATTTGTAGGTGAGTGTGAAGATCTTGAAATTTAAGCATTCCAAGACGCTGCCTGGGTGAAGGGCGCTATATAAATACAAATTGCTGTTGGTGAAATTGATCTTGCAACAAAGAGCCAGTGGAGTCTGGAAAGGACTGGGATAATGTCAGGGTGGTGTTTGATATGGGTATGATATGGGCAGCTGAGATTTGGTTGAATTTTGCAAATGGTGGAGTTGGAGAGGGAGAGCAATGGAGAAATTGTGTAGAGATCATTTGGAGACAACAGAGACTATTACAAGGTGAGGTGAAAAATGCTGTGTGCCATGATATTTTTGATTTTATTGATAGTCAGCAGAGTGTCGGACTCATGCAGAAACCCCTCGTCATGCTTAAGAGTATCCAAACCAGACATGTATATCACATAGACATGTTTGGAATGGAATGCACACTCTCTCCCCAGAGGGATGCACGCTGCTTAATAATAATAATTCTTGCATTGGTACAGCTCCTTTCACATGAGGAGGACATCCCAAAGCGCTTCACAGAATATTTTGTAAAATAATAATAATAATAATAACCCTTGCATTTGATATAGCGCTTTTCAAGTCAGGAGGACATCCCAAAGCGCTTTACAGAACACACTGTAAAGTGAATTGACTGTGTATTTTGTGAGCGAATGTGGCAGCCAATTTTGCTACATCACCTTGAGTACAGTGATGTCCCACAAACAGGGCTGAATGACCAATTTTATTTGAGTGGGGAGTAAGTTATTGGCCGAGAGAAACTGCCTTCTTTTTTTGAATAGCGCCATGGGATCTATAACATGCACCTGAACAGACAGATGGGACCTCGGATTAATATCTCATCTGAAAGACTGCACCTCCAACAATGCAGCACACACGTGTGCTGCATTGAAGTGTCATCTTAGACTACACAAGTTCACATCCTAACATGGGGCTTGAACAACTTTCTGGCTCAGAGGCAGCAGTGTTACCAAATGAGCCAGCTTGAAACACTTACTTAAATCCAGAGAGTATTAGGTACAGGTTGGCAAAGCCCAAAGCTTGGGGACCCTAGAGTGTGCACTGGGTACTGCTGGGGTTTAACTGGCTGAAAACCACACATCTTGGATAAATTATCAAATGTGCTAGCCAATGTGTTATAAATGTCACATTTTTTCTGTCTATTCTTAAAACATTGATGTGAATATCTTCCTTCCCAATAATAAGTTAAACAAATGCAAATTTAAATAATAATAGTCCTTGCATTTAATATAGCAGTTTTCACGTGGGGAGAACATCTTAAAACATTTCACAGGATTTACTGTAAATTGTAGTGATTCCGCATTTTGCAAGCGAATGCAGCAGCAAGCTCAAGGTGATGTAGAGCCTCCCAATTGAATTGGCACTTCTTTTGCTTCCAACCATCTGGTTTAGAAAGTACATGAAATAGTCAAACAAGGAATGTAGCATGTAGCTAATCCCCAGCAGTTAAAATAAAGCTGATATCTGAGATGCAGGAATTTAACTATGATGAGGCTTAATAAATGAGCATTCAATGTTTTGGCATTCAGGAGGGTGAAATCCGACTGAGGTCAACAAGGAAGGGGTTTGGCAAATCAAATAAAGAAGAAATCTTCACTCAAGTTGGAATCTTGGACACAAGGTTATAACAGGGCTAAATTGGTAGTATAGCTGTCCTAAAAAGTATCTTACGCAGAACTCGGACATGAGAATACAACAATAACTTGCACTTATATAGCGCCCTCCACACAGGATAGAGGGCTTAACAATGGCGGAGCCTAATGTTGAGCCGGGGGTGGGGGTGTGGGTTGGCGGGAGGTGCCCGTAAGCACAGTCGAAAAGGAAGGTTTTTAGGCGGGCCTTGAAACAGGGGAGTGTGGCAAGGCGGAGGGATTGAGGGAGAGTGTTCCAGAGAATCGGGCATAGTGGCTGAAAGCGTGACCTCTGATGGTGGGCCGGTGGGTACGAGAGTTGAACAGGAGGCTGGTGCCAGTTGAGCAGATTAAGGATCAAGGTGTGAGGTGGTCGGAGAGGTAGGGAGGTGCCAGAGAGTGAAGGGATAGTGGATAGTGGAGCTGGGGAGATCGACGAGGAGTGCGTTTGAGTAATCCAGGCAGGAGGTGACATGCACAAGGGTTTCGGCGGAATTTGGGGTAAGGTACGGTCGGAGGTGGGCAACGTGGCAAAGGCGGAAGAAGGCGGTCCTGGTCAGGGACCGGATGTGGGGGGGAAGGACAGCTGGGGGTCGAACCGGACCCCTAGATTGCGCACTGGTTCAGTGAGTCTAAGGGAGAGCCCAGGGAGGTTGAGGAGTTCAGATTCACAAGAGTGAAGATGTTGATGGGAGCCAAGGAGTATGGCTTCTGTCTTGTCCACATTCAGCTGCAGTTTGTACTCATCTAGGTCCTGCCAGACAAGCCGATAGAACATCGGCATACATGGAGTTGGTAGTGGAGGAGGCAATGTAGATTTGTGCGTCATCCATATACATGTGGACGTTTACCCCATGTCTGCAGATCACATTGCCCAGATGAAGCATACAGATAAGAAAAGAAGAGAGCCAAGGATGGAGCCCTGGGGTACCCCACAGTTGACCGGGCGGGAGCGGGAGGAGAAACCATTTGCCGAGATGAAATGGAGTCGGTTGGTTAAGTAGGACTCGAACCACGCGCGTGCGGCCCCACTGAGGTGGATGAGGGAGGAGAGGAGGTGGTTGACTTTGTCAAACCCGGCAGAGAGATCCAGGAGGACAAGAAGGGAGCCCCGGTAACAGATAGAGGGGACGTCGTTTGTGACTTTGACAAGCGCTGTCTCTGTGCTGTGGGCAGGGTGAAAACCAGACTGCAGGGGCTCGAAGAGGGAGTGGAGGGAGAGTTGTGACTGAAGTTGACCTGAAACAATGTGTTCCAGGACTTTGGCAAGGAAGGGTAGGTTGGAAATGGGACGGTGGTTGTGTGAGATTAGAAGGATCGAGTGTAGGTTTTTTGAGGAGGAGTGTAATGACAGCGGTTTTCAGGACACAGAGCCTGAGGAGAGAGACTGGTTAACCGTGTCGGCCAGCAGGGGGGAGAGGAGGAGGACTTGAGTGACAAGCAGCTGGTGGAGAGGGGATCGAGGTAGCAGGTTCTGAACTTCCTCCGGGTGATTGTAGTTGAGAGGGAGGAGGGATAAATGGGGGCAAAGGAGTGTGAGGAGGGGAAAGTGGCAAAAGCCGTGGCGGAGGTCTGGGTGGGGTGGAAGGGGACATGGGCGTGGATGACAATGCAGCCAAGTGGATGTTTTAAATCTTTGAGGCGAAGAAGTCTAGGATATCTTCGCACTTAGCGTTTGACATGAGGATAGAGGGGGCTTGAGGGGTGCACGGAGGAGGAAAACAGGATGGACGGTGGAAAACAGCATCTTTGGATTGTTGTTGTCGTTTACCTCCAGGATAATGTTGGAGTAAAAGTCAGTTCGCGCCTGTGAATGGGGGAGGCGGTGGGTGTGGAAGTGCTCGAGCCACAGCCGGCAGTGAATCATGAGGCCAGATTTCTGCCATCTGTGCTCGAGCATCCAGGTTTGTGTTTTGAGTGAGCAGAGATGACTGTTGTGCCGGGGGAGCGGGTGGGTTCGGAAGCAGCCCTAGATTTCAGGGGAGTCAGGGAATTGAAGGCTGCATCAGGATCACTGCAGGTGGAGAGCCAGAGGAAGAGGAGGTCCGAGGATGAGAGGGCATTTGTGAGGGACTCAGGGGGAAGCTTTTTCCAGAGGCAGAAAAAAATGGTGGAGGGCTTCGAAGAGTGGAGGGTTTGCAGGAGGAGAGGGGGATGAGAACAACAACTTGAACTTATATCGGGCCCTCCACACAGGGTAGCATCTCAGAGCACTTAAGAATGGCGGAGCCTGACTCCTAGCCAGGCGAGGGTGGCTGGGTGAGTAAGGGGAGGTGAGCATGGTCGAAAAGGAAGGTTTTCAGGCAGGATTTGATAAAGGGGAGGGAAGGGGGCAAGGTGGAGGGATTGAGGGGAGTGTTCCAGAGTTTTGGGGAGAAGTGGCAGTCAAGCGGAGGTGCCGGGGTGGTGGATTGGGGAGTGAGGAGATCGGAGAGTAGGGAGGTGCCAGGGAGTGAAGGGATTTGAACACGTGTGTGAGGAGAATACAAAAGAGTACAGAACAGACTGCTTCAGTATGCTACATATACAATGAAAACATTTTTTAAAAAGAGAGAAAATGTTTATTTTTCACCCGCAAAATACACAGTCAATTAATTCACTTTACCATATATCCTGTGAAGCGCATCAAATGCAAGGATTATAATTATAATTATTATTATTATTATTATTATACACACCAACCCAATAAAACACAGTGGTTTGGGTCCCAAAGTTCAGTCCATGCATCATGATAGGGCAGACTATAAAAGTACTCACTGAGCTGCATTTCCACACAGCACGCATGACACAATGTTGGCGTGACTGCCTGCATTTTACTCGAGAAGCCAGCAAATGTTCTCATGATCATTTCCAGGGCTTGCTACAATAATATGTAGCAGAGTCAATCTGGACTTGATAAATAAAAGTATTTAGGGATATTTAAAACAGATGGATAAAATGAACTGAGGAGCTACAGCAGAACGACAATAAATGGTCTCCTTCTGCTCCTATATCATGTTCCTAGGCTATATTTTTTCTATTTTCACATCAAGTCGTTTGCTAGAAAGTGTACTTACCAATCTTAGAGGCATAAGCATGATTGCTAAGGTTCAGGTTTAAAGGAAATGGCGTGTGGAAGGCCTCTACACAGCTTTTTGAAATAGGTTTTTTAGCTGGATATTCAAGAAAAAGGAAAACATCAATTTGTACTGCAATTAACAAACAGAAGATTAAACATTTTGAAATATTATCTGCAGTATCAGGTGCACAAGGTTAGTATATGTTTTAAGGTTTCCTATACTACGACTGATAATTTTGTTATCTTCCTCCTCAATAGGGAGAAACACTTAATAGTTCAATGCTAAGAAGATTCCTGTTAATCCCAGGCCAATTCGCTCATACAATTAATGTTAAATTAATGTTTCTGGTACTGATGTAAAAGCACACGGTTGGAGCAAAGTAGTAAGTGTTCTCCTCTACATCGATGCATCTCACATATTTCATTTCTAACATTGTTAGAATTTACACTTTTTGTATAATGTTAGAATCATAATAGATGTTGCGAATGGGTTAACTTTTAAGTTAAGTGTGGGGGGCAACTGGACTGACAGTCATGATTAACACTCAAGAGCAACAAAAGGCAACCCTCAAAAATAGCAACTAACGAGCAAGTTGCTTAAACTAGAGGACCTTGGTACCATCCCGGGATACTGATAAGAAATAACTTGAAAGGAATGTACTAATGATCCCACACACAAAATAATGAGCACCAGATAAACTAAACTGATCAATCCTCTATCTTAGACAATTAGATCAGATAACAGGGGTCTTAGGGACAATGTGTATGTGTGCTGAGGCATGTACACCCAGCATGATTTCAGCCGGGTGATCTAATGTCCGCACCATGATTGGATGAACATCGGTATAAGAGTTCCGTTAACTTAGTGAACGGGGCCATCCCGGGTCGCGGAGACAAGGATACGGGAGATGGGGCCGTCCCGGGCTGCGGAGACAAGGGTACGGGACATGGAAGACAGAGCTAAAAACACTAAGACTGAGGATATCGGATGGAAGATTGAAAGCTGTAAGCAAGAAGACTGAAAGCATGAAGAATCAAGCTTGTGTGCTGGAAAGACACAGTGTTGAACTCGAGATATCTACGGTGGTATTGTTCTGTTATAAGATCTATTGATTGTACCGGCCTTTCGTCTGACCCATCGGGATATTGGGGAATAACAAACGAATAATAATAAAACAGTCTGATATCTGGTTAAAGGAATTAGCGTTATTTCCTTACAGATTTGGCTGATTTTATTTTCTAACAATTTGGGATTCGGCAGGATATTCTGAATTAATACACTTGACAGTTGACGTATTTGAGTCCGGTACGACCGTAACTAGTAAATAGTTGGGACGGTGGCCGTGGTACTTGCAGAAATTAGGAGTTCGGTACGACCGTAACTAGTAAATAGTTGGGACGGTGGCCGTGGTACTCGCCGAAATTATGTGTCCGGTACGATAGTAACTAGTAGATAGTTGGGACGATGGCCGTGCCTGCAGGCAATTAACCGAGTGTATTAACCCATTGGGATTCTGAGTATTAAAGAACCAATATAATCCATTCGAGCGAGTGTCGCTTATTTTTATTTTCTAACAACATGAATCCTGAATATGAAATGCATGTTTGGCCTCATTCTGGCAAGCAGCAGTATATCATGTACGTTACACTGACCCATGGAATAATGGATCGCATCAGTATAACTGGGGAGAAATTCCACATGGCTCCAGATTTACTCTACATATATAGCAATTCAGAGCATTTAGAATTGAGCAAATTCTTAAATACAGACTTAATTTTTAAGCAGTTTTCCGTAAGTTAATTTAACTGATTTCAAAATAAAGTCCGAATTAAATTAACAATTTGCCAAATTCTGGGCACTTTAAAAGTTCCTTTTTTTGTCAGCAAGTGTTTGACACATGCAGTAACCCACTGCAATATTTTAAACTATCCTCTGAGAGTTCCATCAATGCATTCTACCTACGGATGGAAAATTCCCTTTGTTTCCTAATGTAACATATGCTGTTAAGAACAACATCTTGCATGCTAATCGCACCTTTCATGTAGTAACACATCTTAAAGTGCTTTACAGGGACAGAGTGTGACTACTTTCATAAAACATAAGATTATACAATAGTTTGGAAATATAGAACATGACAACATTTGAACCGCTGATACATCAGCAAATGAAAGTCAGTAAAATGTGCAGATGATTGGTGAATCTCTCTACCAAAGTACCCAATAAAACTTCCTTTCCACCCAACTTCGAAATGACAAGAAATGACATTATCAAGAGTCCAAAGCTTCAGATATAATTGTTGTTTTGGATTAATGTTGGTTTTGCAGGCCATCTGATCTTCCAGGGTAAATTCAATTATAGGTGATTCCCTGCAAATACGGAGTCACTATACTTTACAATAAATTGCGCAAAGATCTTTGAGATATCCTCCTGATATGAAAGGCACTATGTTAAATGCAAGTATTTTTATTAACTTACATAAATCAAAATACATATAATCACCTGCACTGGAAAATGCATTCAGGTCCGTTTATTTTGACCTGTAGCTCCACTCATCCAGTGCAATGTAGTGCCTGCATATGTTTGTTCTGACTGCAGTTATAATGTTAGTGAAGTTATAATCAAATTTATCCTGGAAGATCAGGTGGCCTGGAACACCAACATGCACCCAAAGCAATAAAGAACATCTCAAGCTCCTGCCTGAAAGAGTTGTTTCACCACAAGAAAAAATTGTGATGACTTACTTTAATTTAGTCGTAATAAATAATGTTAAAAGAATAATTTACTTACAAAGCATATATGTGACATAGCTGTCCTCAACGGAATGGGTAAGTATTTTGCAGTTCCAGAAGAAACCCTCATAACAAATAATCTTACCGTCAGCCTGAGGGGACATAACTAACGTTAGTAATCGACATTGTGTAAACAGGTTGCGAAAAAGCTTAACTTAAAAAATTCATTAATATGTTACATAAATATAAACCGATGCGGATCTATAAATGTATACAACACACCTATGGACTGACCTTTATGCACCTTAACAATACCAGCCACCATAGTTGTGCACTGACAAAGGTGCTACACATAGCATTAATGGAGTTTCAGCCCACTTTTCTTTACGTAAGATGTGTGTTCTCATCAAGATGTGGGAAAATTGAACCTTTTCTACTTCAAGCAACTATTGAGAGCATTGAGATCTCCAAAATCAGGTGTAGTGCAGAAAAGAAAACTCTCCCTTTGGTCCACTCTGTCATATGCATTAGCTCCCTTTATGCTTTACACAAGAGGAGACGCTTTTTATTTCCCAAACCAGCTTTCTTTACATCTTTTCATTAGGAGGAGGAGGTAAACAGAGTCTTTATGGAGCTGGCTTGGCTCCAAGATGACACACTTTGCAATGGGATATCCGAACTAGGTCGAACTAGGCAGATCTATTCCAATGCACTACTGATGATAGATCCGTCAGCCTGGCTGGTCAGCAGGAGTTAAGATTCTGTTCATCTGACTCATGTTAACCCCGCAAGCCAAAGCCGTAACTGATAGAGTGGTCCATGTTACACAAGCAGTGGGAGGATCACTTATGTTTGCAATAACAAACATATCTGGTTGAATTCCATCAGTATTCCAATAACAATAATAATAATCCTTGCATTTGATATAGCGCCTCATCACGTCTTAGAGATGTCTCAAAGCTCTTCATAGAATATACTGTGAATTGACTGCATATTGTCTTTTGCAAGACAAACTAGAATGCAATGGACGTAATTCAAAAATATCATATTTCAGATTAAGTTTTTTTACTTCTATTATTTCTAAAATATGATTACATTTTAATCAAACGCAAAGTATCCAAACTCTCAAGTCCCCAGCCCTTATCCATTGACAACCTTGCCTAAACTCTGCAGGAATAGATAAATGGAATACATTCCTTCAGAGAGACAGTGTGCACTCCATATCAGGCAAATGGAAATGTCGAAACATTAGTGGAACACTGTAATTTGGTTTGTATACACTTGAACATGATGATGGGTTCGCTCAAATGTCAAACACCCAGCAAACCAAAAAAAATTATCACCTCTTGTGGTGAGATTATCATTTCAAAACTAAATTGTGATGCATATGAGTAAGAAACCTTTCTGCATGAAACCCTTTTTAAATAAAATACAACAATATCGTTTTGCAAGACATGTTAGAATGCAAAGTAAATATTTCAAAAATATATTTAAGATTAAGTCTTTTTTTACTTCCACTATTTCTAAAATATGACTACATTTTAATCAAATGCAAAGTATTTGGTTATAGATCTTACCATGCTTAACAGAGACCAGCCTCCTGGGAAGGGGTTTCTTGACCTTTTTCTACTTTTCGATCTTTTGGACCTACGATTTTGATTCAAATGCTCTTGTATTTTTGTGCTTAATTGAACTGACATTTGAGTTGGTTTCATTCCAAGGTCCTCAGTTTCATTGGGTTCTCCCTCACGCCCAACTGGAGTGAACTGGAAAAGAAACATGAATTGAAAATAATTCTAATACTATAGAATTTAGTAAACAGGGATTACTAAATACACTAAATAATACAGCCTGTGAACTAACTGCATTTCTGTTGACCGCAGCTACAGCCAATGGGTACCCAGAAATGTCCCACAAACAGAAATAAAGTCAATGATTGATTTTATCTACGGGATTATTGCTCAGAAAACTGAAACCACCCTTATCTTTTTGGAATAGTGTGAGGCGATACTTTGCCTGTCTGAACAGGCAGACAGGACCTCAGTTTAACATTTCATTTAATGATTGCATCCACAACAATTCAGTCTTCCTCCAGCACTGGACTGCAGTGTCAGTCTGGACTTTTAGATCAAAGGCCAACATAGTGATTGAACCCACAACCTTCCCACTCAGAGGCAGAATGCTATTACTGAGCCACGCTGACACCTAAAGAATTAATCAGGGTTCTCTTCCAACACTGCTCTACCCCTGGAAGCAAAGTTGTTTCATCTCCAGTGCTACAATTATAAGAATAATTCTCAAACGCATTCCTAGCTGATCTCCCCAATTGCACCATTCATAAATCCAGTTGATCCCAAACTCCTCTGCCTGCATCCTCACCAGTACTAAACCTTGCATACCATCACCACAATCATCGCTGGGCTTCACTGGATCCCTGGCTCAGAAAGGATTGCTTTCAAGATTCTCTCCCCTGCAGACTAATACCTCCCAACTTCTCCAACTTCTCCAATGCCTTAACCTCCTGCACTAAACCTCCTTTCTATTGACTTATCCTTTCCCCATTGCTTTTGTTGTCCGATTCAAGACTGGATTTTAAATGCAAATCTTGTTCCTTTCAAGACTCGTATTATTCCAGCCTTTTCTTTGTAAAGATGGAATTGGATAACCTCGAGGGCTTCAGCAAAAGCCCGACTTCAAACCAATGTCTACAATTACTCAAAACGAAACCGAGTCCAACTCATTTTTCGAGGTCGTTGACTTCTTTGTTTGTTCTTTCACAAGTAAATGAATGTTCGACCAGAGATCCCGACTTTGAAACATAAAGTGTGAAGCTTCCCGACATTCATATGCACAAGATTTACAGATGTAAGAGGAGCAATGAAAGCATCTGACCAACCTGCTGTCCTATCTCTCTCATGTTAATATCTTCTTCATCGTGTGAGCAAACGATTTGCACCACCAGCCAGGAATTGGTGCAGAAAGTCAACAGAAAACATGCAACTCCTATCAACGCAAATATTCGAGCAATACATATACTCCTTGACCTGAGAAGTTTCATGCTGCCGATCGTCGAAAGCACTGAAGGAAGAATAAAAGAAGTGCTGATCTGGTGGGGAGTGGGAGGTTCTCTGACTCCAACATATTCCTCCCCCTTTGGCTTTGAGCCATGTCCCTCTTGCTGAGAAAATAGCTTGGAATTGGGTGCGTTCATTGCACAACACCAAGTGTGGAATGACACTTGTAAAATACCCATTTCACTATTTTTTTTAAAAAAAATAATGGGAATGTATGGTTTCTTTGCAAAGGGTGATTGAGATTGAACATGATTTTTTCCCCATTTTTACAATTTGTTTGGTTGCAACTTTGATTCCTCTCAAACCAACAAAAGTGAGCAACAAGTACGTTTTAAATCGTCCCCACCGCCCGCATTCTGTTCAGGTTTCATAATAACAATACAAATCTGTTCTGTTTATTTATCGTCTTACCTGGTTGACAAATCATCTCAAAGCGCTTCCCATGATTTTACAGTAAAGTGTAGTAACTGTGGATTTTGCAGGTGAACACGGCAGTCAATTTGCGCACAGCAATGCCCCACAAGCAGCCATGATGGGAGTAAGCAATATTCCATCAGTATTCCATATAGGAGGTGAAAGGAATGGGCTTGATAAGAGGAATGAGCTTTTCTTGTTTTAATAAAATTGGCTGCTGTGTGAGCTCAGACGTGCTAGGACTCTCCAGTCTTGAGAGAAGACAAACCAATAGGGATCTCATAGGGGTATATACATTTACAATGGGTTTACAAACCTAAATCCAGAACAATACTTTAGTTTGCACCAAAACAGTAGAACAGGAGGACATAGGTTAGAGTTGCAAAGTGCAATTTCAGAACAATAATAATACAATAATAATAAGCCTTGCATTTGATGTAGCTCCTTATCACGTCTTTGAGATAATAATAATCTTTGCATTTGATATAGCGCCGTCTAGATGATTCAAAGCGCTTCACAGAATATACTGTAAAGTGAATTGACTGTATATGTTGTGGACAAAATGCAGCAGCCAATTGCGCACAGCAGTCATGAATTGAGTCACCAATTTTTACATTTTTTTAAGGAATTACCTAGCAATTATTATTATTGCTAGGTATCATCTTGCCACAAATCAAACCAAGGTCTCTCGCTTACGAAGCAAGTGCTCTAACCATTGAGCTACCGGATTCCACGTGGGTTATGGGTTATTAATAACTATAACAGGTTGCCAGGAAAAATGGTTGAAGCTAGGACACTGAACTCGTTTAAAATAGCTTGATGCTGTAATGGGAGGACAATAGGGTGAGTGTTATAAAGGGGGGCGTGAGAGATCAGATGGGCCAAAGGACCTTCTTCATCAAAACCAATCTTGTGATCTTATGCACTATTGATTAAGAAAATTGAATTGCAAGTTAAACGTTAATGGAGAATTGGAAAAGCAGAAGGGAATTTGCTCCAATGTACTGGAACGATTGGTTGCTTCCCAGCTTCGCTCCTTCCTCTCCCGCCACTCCTTTCACAAAACCCTCCAATCGGGTTTCCATGCCACCCACAGCACAGAAACAGCCCTGGCCAAAGTGACAAATGATGTTCTGTCCATCTGCGACCAGAGCTCCCTCTGCCTCCTCATCCTCCTTGACCTCTCTGCTGCCTTCGACACCATCGACCACTCTATCCTCATCCAGCGCCTCTCTTCTCACCTCAAATTTCACGGTTCTGTTCCTTGACTTGTTCAGATCGTACCTCTCACACCCCTCCACTTCATCTCCACAAACAGCTTCTCCTATAGCCCCCGAACCATCTTATGCAGAATTCCTCAGGCCTCTCCTTGGTCCCCTCCTCTTCAATATCTATATGCTCCCTCTTGGTGACATCACCTGCAGACATGGGGTCAACTTCCACATGTATACGGATGACACCCAACTATACCTCTCTGCCTCCATCCTTGACTCTAGGACCCCACTCCTGTCCTGACAGAAGGTCTGTCGGACATCAAGTCATGGATGAGAGCTAATTTTCTTCAGTTGAACGTCAGAAAGACCGAGGCTCTCCTGATTCGCAGGCGCTGACAGCATCACCATCCATGGTTGCACACTCCACCTTACCAAGTCAATCCAGAATCTTGGCTTCTTGTTTGACCCTCAACTATCCTTTCTGCCCCACATCTGCACCATGACCCACTCTGCCTTCCCCCACCTCCGCAACATTGCCCAGCTCCACCACTGTCTCACACCACAGGCCGCCGAAACCCTCATACATGCTTTCATTACATCAAGGCTTGACTATACAAATGCATTGCTTGTTGGCCTCCTCAACTCCTCCCTCCATAAACTGCAGATCATCCAGAACTCGGCAGCACATGTCCTCTCCCGCACTAGCCTCCATGACCCTATCACCCCCATCCTCGCCCGATTCCACTAGCTTCCCATCACACAGATGATACAGTTCAAAATCCTGGTCCCCATCTTCAAAGCCCTCCATGACCTTGCTCCCTCCTACCTCTGCAACCTCCTAATCCCCTACCACCCTGCTCACTCCCTCCGCTCAGCAGGCTCCAGCCTGCTTCATGTCCTCCGCCTTGCTCGCCATACTATTGGTGGGCGGGCCTTCTGCCACTCTGCCCCCACCCTCTGGAACGCCATCCCGCAGTCCTTCTACCTCACCCCATCCCTTGCCTCCTTCAAGACCCATCTCAAGACCCTCCTCTTCGACCATGCTTTTGATCTCCCTGCTTCCCCCCCGCCCTCCACACTTGCCAACCCCGACCCCCAGCTTGGGTTCAAAACTCTGACTGTCCCGCGCCTTGGGACGTCGTCCCGACGTGAAAGGCGCTACACAAATGTAATTTTGTTACTGTTGTTGCTGAACTATTTTTAATTAATTTTATAAGTATTACAGTACTAAAGGATTTTTGAGTAGCACAGCGTGAGCTTAAGTAAAAGCCAACCAGACCATGGAGCCGAGAATCTCTGAAGCTGCATATGGACAACAAAACACCACATGTTTCCTGTCTGCTTACAGTTATTGGGCTAAATTTAGTGAGGTATTTTGCTAAACTGCAGAGTAAGTAAAATACTTTGAAGATTGAGGAAGTACTTCTTAGCTAGCTGTCAAATCAAAAGCATAAATTCCAAGAGCCCCTACCTCACCCCATGCAGAACCAACATTTCTTTTGAAATGACTGTGTCTTATTTATAACAACAATTGAAACAGCATGGAACAGAAATCGAAAACACACGCTATTAATTGCAGCCTTTGGTCACACGTTTTATGTTTTTTGGTGATGGGTTTCCAGTTTAAATGTTGGCAGCTTCCAATTACATATTTTACTGTTCTAGTTACTTTGCCCAACCTGCGACTGAAAAGATCACTGCAGCTCATGGCAAAATCAAGTCCTTACTCTCATTGGCTAAAGTGATATGCCACTGCAGTACTGGGGGAGCGCTGAATTGTTGAACTGTGCCTTTTCTTTGGATGAGATGTTAAAGCAAGGTCCCATCTGCCTGGATTTTAAAATCATTCTTGTCCTACCAGGCAGTTTCAAAGCTCCAGTTTACCTGATGTCATTACACGTGTTTTTGATTGGATGTGAGGCTTTACAACATTTAGCCATTCAGAGGAGCAGTAAACTTTTATTTAAATAACCAGGGCATTCTGACAATATTGCAAAAATAGGCACATTGATGGATAATGGACCCGAGTTGATGGTTGCTTATCTTAGTAACATTGAAAATGCAATGGAGCACAATTCAAATTTCATGTACTTTACATCACATTGGCTTAATATCACTGACCTATACATAGTGTCCACTGTTACAATTATCAAATAGTGTACACTATCACAATTTGTAAGTAATGTACATTATTCCATTGAGTAGATATTGTACACTATCATAGTTATCAAATATTGTACACTATTATAGTTAGCAAGTATTGTATACTATTATAGTAAGCAAGTATTGCATACTATTATAGTTACCAAGTATTGTATAATATTAGAGTTAGCAAGTAGTTGTACAACATAACGGTGAAGTTAGAAAATGCTATTACAGATAGCAAGTGTGGGGGTATACTTATATGGAGAAAGTAATGTACATTATTACAGATAGCATGTAATGTACATTTAGAGTTAACAAGCAGTGTACACTATTCCAGTCAGCAAGTAATGCACCTTATCATAATTACCAAAAATATATAGTATTATAGTTAGCAAGTAGAGTATACTATTATAGCAAATAGTTTAATGCTTACAGTTAGCAAGTAATTTACAATTGTATTTATGATTTTCTCACCATTTTAGGTTACACACTTTTAGAGGTGTGTTTATATAAAATCTTATTGTTTTCAACAAACTGAATATATTTAAATGTATGCTATTTTTGTCTAACGTTATTCTGTGAAGAAACATAATGCACAACATGACACTGTAGAAGTTATTTGCTTCAATCCTCTGCTGTAAGCAAAAGTCCAAGAATATGTGTTCAAAAGGTTATTCACTTGTTTTCAGGAGACAATACTCGGGAATTGTATCTTATCAAAAATGTTTTTTCCACTAATATTTCCCATCAAATAGCTTCTTGTGTAACACATTTCTACACTCTTAATGTGTAGTGTGTTGGCACAGAATAAATAAGAAAGATGCATGGAACTACTGAGTGTGTACCAATGTAGCTTAACACTTATGTAATGTATTCAGACATTAAATAAATATTCTTCTTTGACATTTATTTTTTGAAGAAAGCAGTTTGGGATCTTCCTCTACACGGTGTCAGTTTCCTTACAGTTCTGTATGTTTTCCCATAATTTGGTAACTGTTATTACAAATTTTGGGGCTTAGTCATTTCCTGTAGAATGCTATGCATTTCTTTTGTACAGCAATTTTCTGGAATATAGTTTCCAGATACTTTTCTATCTTTTCTTGTTGTTTCACAATACTGAAATTTCAAGTCATTATTAAGATTGTTAATACATATGTAAGGTAAAGCGATATCAGTATAAATCTTTACAGAAATAAAAGAAAAAATAGCTTAATTTGTGTCACGTAAAATACCATCTATTTAAGCACCAGACAGGATTGTATAATTATTACTATGTGAAACACTGCAAGTTACATTAGTATTTAGTTTTAGACAATTCCTCACTTTTCCCAACAACAACAACATCATTTTACAATATGAAAGAAAGCTCATTTGCGGTAAACAACAGCATCAGTTCACAGGAGTTAACAGATGTAGATACATAACTTGGACAAATGAAAGGATCAGAACTTTCACAAACTTTGTCACATTTGGTAAACTTTTCATTCTCAATAAAAGCTTCAAACATTTTCCGATTAACTGCAATCCACCAAAAGTGTTGTCTTTTAAGTATAATGTACTTGAATAGTGCGTCCTGCCAAAAGGAACAGCAAGCCTGCAAGTAGCGAGAAGAATATCCCAATTGGAGCGATAATGAAAGACCATCCATACTGAACACTGAGTGTAAAATCTGGACAGAGTGCGATTTGTTGCTTGTGAATGTATTCATTTAAATCAATGACTGTTTCAATCCAGATGACATACATAATGACAAGCATTGAAAATAAAATACCTGGGGAGGAAAAAGAGAATATTTCAATTAAAATTATAGAAACCAATGCTCTTCTTTCAATAATAATAATCCTTGCATTTAATATAGCGCCTTATCACATCTTCGAGATGTCTCAAAGTGCTTCACAGAATATACTGTAGAGTGAATTTACTGTAAATTTTGTGGGCAAAATGTAGCAGCCAATTGTGCACAGCAGTGTCCCACAAACAGTTGTGGATTGAGTGACCAATTTTTAAAACTTTTTTTAAGGAATTATTATCCCGGAAAACCGGTCCACCAATCAACAAACAACCGGGTTCCTATTTACTGCGAGATGTGTGGAGTAAGGAAACTTGCCCAATGTTTCGCCCCACTGGGTATCAAACCCAGATCTCTCACTTCCGAGGTGAATGCTCTAACTCTAATTCTATTTATTATGTGTAACCCAAGTTGATTCATCAATGTGGAAGTGGCCACATCTGAAATCTGGCCAATGGGTTTGTCTTTATAAAGATGCTTTGTCTTTATACGCAGCTGGGAAGACTTCTGTGGGAGGCCCCAGTGGAAAGACTCCTTTTGGGAGGACTCCTGTAGGAGGACTCCAGTTGGGAGAACTCATGGGAAGACTCAATTGGAGTGCTCCTGTTGGGAGGACTCCTGTAGGGAGGACTCTTTATTGGGAGGACTCCTGTTGGGCGGTCTCCTTGTTAGAGTGCAACATGTGTGATGAGCTTATTTAGGTCATAGCTTTTCTCTGTTGCTGCTTTGTTGCAGAATATATTAGTATACACGTATATCTCTAGAAGGGTGTGTGATTTCCTTGGTCCCTACTTTGTTGTAGAATATCAGAATCTTATTGTTTTCACAAACTGAATATATTTTAAATTTATCTTATATTTTGAGGCTTAATTAAAGCATTTTTTTAATATAGCTCATGAATTATAGGAGATCCCTGAAATAAAATATGCTCATGACACTCCTGCATGCAAGGTCTTTCCAATGAGGTATAAATTGTCTCTACGTCAATCGGTTATTGCGTTATTGGCAGACACACAGACACACAAACATTTTGTCTTTATCAGTATAGATTAATGATTATCTCCAAGACGCCTGTCAAACAGTAACAAATGGGTAACTCTTTTCCATGTCAGGAGGCTGACACTCCAATGCAGTGCTGAGGGAGTGCAGGTGTCAGTTTGGCTCAGTTGGAGCTGAACTGGCTCTTGGCCTTGGCTCTTGTCAACCTGTGCCTAATACTTTCTGAAATTAGGTAAGCAGGATGCATCCCTTCAGGGAAAGAGTGTGCATTCCATTCCAACAATTCATCTCTGGAATTTCCATGTGTAGGTGGGATGTATGGAAATCTCAGCTTGGTTTGGATACTATTAAGCATGGTGATCAGTTTCCACATTTGTCAGACACCCGGCTGACCAAAATAAAGTCAGAAGGTTGTCCATTCAAGGCATACGTCAGGACTTTGAACCTACTATCCTTCTAGACTGACACTCCAGTGCTACCCCATGATCAGTGGCCGAGACTTCAGGGACTAACCCCCTAATCTATGGAATATCATATTTCTACCCCTCCATTTCAATCCCTCTCTAAGTATCTTTAAATTCCGCCTTAGAATCGCCTTTAACCTTGTGTATGGAAGATACACAGTAGCCAAACAGAGGGGGAGCAAAGGAGTGGGGTAGGAGACAGGAGCCTTTCTCACTAGCCTTTGCAGAACTGATTTTGAGCTGCCTTGAGTTTTAACATACAGTAGTTACAACAACAACTTGCATTTGTAAAGCGCCCTTCACACTTCTCGTCTTGGAGTGCTTCACAGATTATAGTTGATATACCTGTTTTGTGACTTAATAACTTGAATGATATATGAGCAATGGTTTGACAAGCTGGAGCTTGTCAGTTTTTAAAGAAAAACACAGAGGGGACCTCATAGAGGTGTATAAACTTTTAAATGGTTATTGAAAAAGTAAACCTGGAACAATACTTTAGGATGCACTAAGACAGTAGGTTTTAGACGCATTGCAGCAGCTGTTGATCAAGGAGGAGTGAAAGGAACTTGGCAGGCAATAGGAAATAGTATGTCAGACTAATCCTCGGGTTAAGTAGAACTTTGTGTTTAAGTAGAATGGTAGATAAACAGAATTTTGTTTGACGACACAATTTTTTTATATAAAAGCATATTTTTACAAATGTATTATTTCAAACTATTTTATCCCGAGGAACACATATCGTAGCAAAGAAAAATCTGAGTTCAAATATAGCTTTTGTGTGCTTGATGGCAAAAGACCAGGGTACAGCTGGAGTTAACAGCAACAACAGATGTCTCCTGAATTTGATCCTGGGGACACAGAAAATCTGGAGATGTTGTACTGGGAAACTCTTAAATAACCCGTGATCCTCCAGAGTCAAGCGTGAATTCCGTGAGCTCTGCTTCAGTAATTACTGGTTAGCTCTGCTCTCTATATGAGGCACTTTGGAGGAGAACAATGAGCACCATCCCTCATATTAGAGGAATCAGCGGTGACCAACAAGAGGGTTAGCGGGAAGGAGAGAGAGAGGTTTGGAATGTAGAATCTGGGCACAGAAACCCAGATATGGCGAGGCAGGAGAACAAAGGTTCAAAGTTGCAAAGGGCAATTTCAGTTTATATGCTACAAACTACACAATTTCTTTACCCGAAGGGCAATTAAAGACTGGAATGGGTTGTCAAGAATGGTGGTGGAGACCAGGACCCTGGACTCATTTAACAAACAATGTGATGCTGTGATGTGAGAATGGTTGACTAAGTGATCTGGAAGGATGAGACCAAATGGGCCAAAGAGTCTTCTATAATCAAATTTCTCTTGTGATCTTGTGATAAAAGATGAGGTATATTCTCGCCTTTCGCAAAGGGTAACTCGCTTATTTGTTGTACTCTTGAATGCAGCTTTGCTATTTTTTCACAACACACCAACAATTTCTCTTAATTTCAGAGCAATCTGTTTATTTTAATAATACAATGCTAAATTCAAAGTTAAGTAATGTGAGAGAACATTTAAATAGTAATAATAACATAATTCTGGGTAGGTTTTATGTACCACTTCTTTCAATATAGGGGAAGGCCAGCGAAGGGTTAGTGCCTATTATTCCATCTGTCCTTTGATGCATTATTTTTAATTCCTAATTTTGGCTAATTATTTTAAATGCTTGTTTCATGGGTTTCCCTACACACATTAACTTTAGTGGAGCAAACCCTCTGCAATTATAAGGCTTTTGATCAGTGTGTTTGTGCTGTACAGCACTGCAACTATAAGGATTGTTGATGGTCTATTTAAAGATCGTTCTTGTCCATGGTGACAGAGCATCAACAAATCACACTTCATATTTTCAAGGCCAGACATAGAAACAGAAGTAGACCATTCAGCCTCTCAAGCCTGTTCTGCCATTCTTTAAGATCATAGCTGTACCTCAACCCCAATTACCTGACCTTACCCCATATCTGCCATCTACGTCAATACAAAGGAACACTGGAAACTCCCATAAATACGAGGAGTTTTAAACAATTGCCACGTATTTTGCTCTACACTAAAGGTATCATTTGAATCTGTCAGCTTGGCTCAGTTGAAAGCGTTCTCGCCTCTGAATCAGAAGGTTCTGGGTTCGAGCCATTTGGCAGGACTTTGAATTCTTGTCTGGCACTCCAGTACTGTGCTTGGGGAAAGCTGCATTGTTGTCATTCTTCCAATGCAATGTTAATTCAAGCTGTCTGTCTCTTCAGGTAAATATATCAACCAATCAAATATCAGGGCAAACAGGACAATTTGCCCACAATATCCCAGCCAACAATTGAATGACTAATTTCATTTTAGGTGATTGTTGGCCAGGACACTGGGAGAAACTCCTTTCTCTTTTCGCAAAGTGCCATAGGATCTTTAATGTCCATTTGAACAAACAGAAAGGAACTTGATTTAATAATAATAATCCTTGCATTTGATATAGGGCCTTATCACATCATTGAGACATCTCAAACTGCTTCACAAAATATATTGTAAAGTGTAGTGACTGTCCATTTTGTGGGTGAAACACAACAGTCAATTACGCACAGCAGTGTCCCACAAACAATTGTGGATTGAGTGATCAAATTTTTTTGGAGATTTAACGTTTCATCTGAAGGACGGAACCTTCAACAATGTAACAGCCCACCAGCTCTGAATTGGAGTGTAACCTGGACTATAAGAGTTCATAGTGCTTGAACCCACCACCAACTGAGCCACGCTGAAAAAAGCCAGGGTGACTGACACATAAACGTGTATTGGTGTATGAGATTGTGTGAGAAAGAGAGTATTATTTAGGAAACAGCTTTATGCTACAGTGGGAGGATCCTCGGTGGGGTGAGGGGGTAGATGGAGTCTCCTTGTAGCTGAACTGGCTCCAATGGAATATCGGAATCGAGCCTTCTGAGGCAGTCTCAGGAGTCTGGTTCCTGAGCCAGACAGGTCCACAGAATTCTAGGGCACTGCTGTTGACAGCTCAGCCAGCCCGGCTCATCGGCAGACCAGTCAATGGGGCTAGTGAGTCATCCCAATCAACTCTTGTCAACCCTGCAAGCCAAATCCCTAATGGGTAGGGGGGGGTCCAAGCTGGACAAGCAGCGAAAAAGCTTGTTGGACAGCAATATCAATGGCAAGTTATGTGGTTTTAGCTGGTTAGACTCCAGCAGTACCCCAACACACACTCTGGAGTCCCCAAGCCTTGGCACTTGCCAACTTGCACTAATACTTTCCAGAATTTAGTAAGAAGGGTGCATCCCTCCAGGTAGAGAGTGTGCATTCCATTCCAAGAATCTGTCTCTGGGATTTACACGTGTAGGTGGGATGCATGAAAATCTCAGCTTGGTTTGGATACACTTGAGCATGGTGATGGGTTTCCACATGTCTCAAACACCCAGCTGACACCCCCAAAAAATGGGAGGATGTAGAGTAGATATTATGGAGGGATAAGATCACATGGGTCAAAAGTCCTGCACAATCCGAACCTCTTTTGTTATCTTGTGTGTGTGTGAGAGAGTTAGACTTGATTTTAAAAAAACTTGTTTTTCAATCCATAACCTGGGCCAGCAAGTCGTTTATCCAACAAATCAATGCCTGCAAGCAGGAAGAAGTTCTCTACTGCAAACATTTCATACGGTTTGAAAATTCTACTTACCGGCAGCGAGAAACAGCCCACCTCCCGCTTTGTAGAGTTTATGATTAGAAAATGGAGCGGCGCAGATGATGATAAAGCCTCCTATTATGACAGCAACAACGCCCAACATCATGAACACTGTCCAGAAACCACGATAAACTGAAAACAGGCACAATATGAATTATTAGTTAAATTCTCTGTCAGATTAAAAGGAACAATGACATTGCTTTCAGAACTGCAAAATCATTCCTATCCACCGCCCAACCCGCCTCACGATAGCCATTCTGCCCTGCTCTCCGGAACTCCGTCCCAGAGCCCTCCACCCCATCCTCTCCCTTCCCACCTTTAAAGCCTGCCTAAAGATCATTTTTTCCAACGCACTTTAGTCACCTTTCCCTCCTTCCACCCAAAGCTCCACCCACCCCAGCTTGGACTCTCAGTCAACATTTTGAATTGTCCTCCAGTCATGAAAGACATTATAAAGATGTAAAATGGTTGATGCTGTAACCTGCACTGACAGATAATCCTAAAAATAATCATGTGTCATTTTCTACGAGTTTTCTACTTCTGGTTTTATGGAGACACACATCTCTGGCAGTCACTCCCCTTTATTCATTTCGGTAGAATTTCTCAAAAATGGTATCCATCAACAAGTTATTTGTTCCACTATCTTAAACCCGCCGGTATGAGGTATGAGGTAGACCGGGAATATATGTATTGACTAACATCTACAAATATCACATTGTTTTGATCTATCACCTTCATGAATGAATGGCAACTAAATATTCAGTCTCAGTGTTTATCTATCAGGAACTTGAGGTCTGATTACTTACTGATTGCAGTTTCATAAGCAGTGGAGTTGTGTGCCTCTGCTGTCATAGGGAATGGGATGAGATAGGCATGCATACAGTACTTCGAAGGAGGTTGGTTGGCTAGACAATAAAGTGAACAATGTGAGCAATATTAACTGAATCATCACAACACACTCAAGCACTAATACCACAATATCACACTAATAACAAAATGTTATGAGGACATGGAGGCAAGCTCTACCAGAATTACTGGTTGAAGCAAGACCATAAATTAGACAAGAATCGGAACAGAAAAAAATACATAAGGAAATGGGGAAAGGCAGGGGTGCAGGCCTAAGTCAACAGCTCTTACAGAGTGTCAGCAGAAGCATGATATGTCCTATTCCAGGGATTCCCAAACCTTCGGTCACAAAGCCCACAGGGCTAGGTATCAAGGTCTCAAGAACCCCCACAACATTAGGGATCCTGACTGAGAAGCCCCCCCCACTCAGGCTGTGCACGCTTCTGGCAGAGCATCGAGGCCTCCCTCTCGTATCCTCCAGAAAAGGCTGCCTTTAAATACTTTGCACTGGAACCATGGAAACATGCCTTCCTCATTCGCTCATCGGGCTGTGCAGGTTTCCTTAGTCCAACTGGGCTTCGGTAGCCTTTGGATCTCCAGTAATTCTCACGAAATGCGGCAGCCAATTGCGCACAGCAATGTCCCACAAACAGTCGTGGATTGAAAATGACCAATTTATTATTGTTTTTGTTTTGGAGGGATTATTATTAGGCGTGTGGAGTAAGGAAACTTGCCCAAGGTTTCGCCCTGCCTGGAATTGAACCCAGGTGTCTCGTTTTCAAGGCTTCTAAGGATTATTAGGAAAAATTATCTATCTACCAGTGATTAGCTCTTCAATCCTCTTTTAATCTAGCAGAAGTTTAGCATCAAGTCAAATAAGAAAAATGAGATACAACTATACAACTTCATACAACAACAAAATTACATTTATAGAGCACCTTTCACATTGGGAGGATGTCCCAAAGCAATGTACAGTCAGATGTCAGGGCCCAAGCATGGGGGAGGGGTGGTGTAGGGGTGAGGGAAGGCAGAGAGGTGGGAGGGAGACCAAAGGCACGGTCGAAGAGAAGGGTCTTGAGACCGACCTTGAAGGATGCAAGGGAGGAAGCGAGGCTGTGGGATGGAGTTTCAGAGTGTGGGGGCAGGGAGGCTGAAAGCCCTGCCACCAATGGTAAGGCAGGTCGGGTGGGAGACATGCAGCAGGTCGGAGCCAGATGAACGGAGAGAGCAGGCAGGTTGATAGCAGTATTATAGAGTACAGCTGAACATGTAAGTTTTTCTATATTTGTAGAATATTGGTACTACTGGGATTTAAATTGTAAGCTTTTAAATAAAGACTGCAATAACAAGAGGCATAATAAGTCACAAGTGTATTAAACTAATTAATACAATGAATATAAAGGTTTACAAAATTGTATTGGAATTGTAAGCTTCATTACTGCTATCTCTTGTCTTATGTAGGGAAGTCCTATAGCTCACTGGTTAGAGCACTCACCTCGCAAGCGCGAGACTTGGGTTCGATTCCTGGCAGGGTGAAATATTGGGCAAGTTTCCTTACTTAACAAGGCTCTGTTTACCAAGCAGTAAGTAGGGACCCAGTTATTAGACGATTGGCAGATGGCTTTTCAAAAAAAAAATTGGTCACTTCAATGCAAGACTGTTTGTGGGATACTGCTGTGCGCACTTGGCTGCTGCGTTTCGCCCACAAAATATACAGTCAATTCATTTTATAGTATATTCTGTGAAGTGCTTTGAGACATCTCGAAGACGTGATAAGGCACTATTTCAAATGCAAGGATAATTATTTATTATATTATTATGAAATCCTTTCCAGCATCTCACAAACTTAATCACCATTTGCTGCTATTTTGTGTAAGTTTCTATTAAGTTGCGTTTCTATTTTGCTTCATAAATTTACCAATGTAACAGAATTGATTAAATATCCCAGTATGACACCATATACAGAACAACCCTGTTATAACATCCTGGTATAGCTCAGCTACAGCTCTTTTGTCCTGTATACCTATGCTAACTGGAAGCATAGATGGGCTCTCAATGCTTTTCTCTAAGGTTTCAATTTTTCTTTGTCACATTCACCATGTTGCATACAGTCTTGCCACATTTTGGAAACTGAAGTAGGATTGCATCTAAGATGTAGGGAACACACCTATTACATTTATTCTCGACATTCTGAATTAACAGATTTCACTTACTGAACCAGAATTTCCAAATGTCGTTGTCCACAACGGCTTCATTAAACCAGCATCTCCAGAAGAAACCCTCATGATGAAAAGTGGCACCGGTTTTATGGAAAAACACAATGTCGCCCTTCTAAACAAGAAAATAAATCTTGAGCCAATTCATCAAAGCATTGGTGGCCAACATTTTTGGTGGGCCAACCAAATAATTTTTCCATTATTGAATTTTTCTTCATTTATGGCCCAGCCATGGGTATCGCGGCTCAGTAGTAGCTACTGTAAACAAGGTAGTGATTTGGTGTGTACTTGCCTGGACTGCCGTGGAAAATGTATTTGGTTGACCCACCAAACCTGTTTGCCACCAATAACAAAAAGCAATCTAGGTATCAATCTGGCTCAGTTGATTGAACTCACAGTCTAGGCTGACTCTCAAATATAGTGTTAGGAGAGCAATGACAAGGTCCTCTCCTTCAGATAAAATGTTAAACTGAAGTTGTGTCTGCCTGTGCAGTTGGACGTTAAAGTTCCCATGGCACTAATCGAAAAGGAAAGGGAGATGTTTTCTGAGTCCTGACCAACAATCCTTCAGATAAAATTGGTCAATACGATAGCTCATGGGTATTTGACTGTTTGTGGGACATTACTGTTCATACATTTTCTGCTGTGTTCACCTACAAAATACAGTTGCTACCCTTTAAAATGAAAAATATGAAATGCTTTGAGACATCCTTCTGACATGAAAGGCTCTATATCAAATGCAAAGATTTTTTATAGCATATATTATATTATTTACTGAAGTTGAAAATGCAGTATTTGCTCCTTGGGTTCATTATATAGAAATTCCAAGTCATATGTAGAGACTCCAGTCACTCGACAAAATACATCATGCCAACCTGTGGTAACTCTACTCTAATGACTAAAGTCACTCTGCCTGGAGTCCCTATTTTGGAATTCAGATCAACTATTTAGTGAATCCAGCTAATTAATTATCCATTTTCACTACAATTTTGGGGTCTAACTTATATTCTAAATAAAGTTTCCTTAAGTTATTGAATATTAATTACCTGAATATGCTGGATGTGTGACCAGGCTGTAGATCATTGTCATTGCAAATGATGTCACAAATTTGTCTTCCTGCTTGCAGATCTCAACTAATAATTAACAAAATTGTGGCTTTACTCTGATCTTCCAAATCCTATTTTGCTCTTCATGCTTTAATCTACTGCTTACTCCTCATTACATTTCCTCCACTATCAGTGGCTGAACTGAGCCTTTGATCACTGTGCCTCTGTCCTCTAGAACTGTCTTCCAAACTACTTTGCCTTGTCCCTCTCTTCCTTGCTTCAAAAACATTCTAAAAACATATCTCTTCTTACAAGCTTTGGGTTAACATCTTTAAATCCCCTCTTCACCATGTTGAATGGGCACCAAGCTACATTTGCCAAATGCTTCAATGCATTTTTTTTCATGAAAGGTGTATCGTTTTTATGTAGAGATGCAAACAGTTTACTGCAGTTATACAAAACTACTGAGTTCTGATAAAACAGACTTCTAAGCATGTATAATTCTCAACAAATATAATTTGCAGAGTGCTGCTCACTGGAGCTGAACACCAATTAAAGTTATTGAGGACCAAAGAGTTAAGCCAGCTTTCAAGTAAATTAAGATCAACAGCTGGAAAATTCAATTGTTATTCTTGGTAGTTGGCTCTGCAATAACTACAACCAAAAGTTAGAGTTATATAGCAGCTGCTCACATTAGTCAATAGGGCAAACTACACTCTGTCAGTGGTTTTGCTAGCCACACTCTAAATCAGATCATCAACAAGTTATCCATTTGAAACCGTAACATTACCAGACTTCCACATCAATTAGTTAAATCAGGGCTTCAATGGGTAATAGGTGTGTCACAGAAGATGCTTTTCATCTTGCCAATATTTAACACTAATTTTAAAACTAACAGTTCTATTGCTTTTCCTTTTTTTATATTTGCTTTATAATAAATGAAATTGATAAACCAACATAGTGATGATATTGCTGGTGCACAATGCGACTGTAAAGCCAGAGGCATTTCATTATAAATACATTAAATGCATTATATCAAAAATAAAATGGCTTAAGTTCTTGTCCATTTGAAACCAAGAACTTACACTTGGCATCAATTTGCTGCTGGGTCACATTGGTATCACTTGTGCAGCAGAAGCACAGCATTTGATGCCTGAGGACTGAAGCAAATGAAGATCCTATAGAAAGACTTCCAACAATGTTTATGATGAAGTTTGTACCTTTGCCATGTGAGTCATGGAACCTTTTTTTCAATTTAGAAACAAGTCATTGAGCATTAAGCATCAAAAAGTGTCACTTTAAACAGTTCAGCTCTTCTATGAGTTGGTAGCTGCTGTTCTTGTTCCATTCCCCCAACCCCCATCTAATAATTCAAAGCATTCAACTACCCAGTGTCATGTAACATTACCGAGTACAGCAGTTATGAAAATGAAAGGAAACGCAGGCAGTAGCTTATTTATTTTTACAGATGTCTTTTACAAAAAGTAGTTATAGATGCTCGTTGTTTTAGTTTGCTGGGTTTGTAATCATTTTGATGTGTTGTTATGCTGTTTAGTTTGATATAAAATATAAATAGTTTGGTTACCACAACAGCTGGTTCACAAAATTTCACATTCCACAATTCTATGATTTCCATGACTCTTTCCATGTCTAATCTAGGATTTTCCCAAGCATTTATCTGCCCCAATCTCTGGAACTCCATCGCGGAATCTCTTCGACTCGCTCCTTCCCTTGTCTCCTTCAAGGTCCACCTCAAGTCTTTCCTCTTTGACTTCACTTTCGGCCATCTTCATGTTGTCAAAATTACAGCCCTATTCATGGCTGTAATGGGCTTCAATAGGTAATGGGTATGTATCAGAAGATGCTTTTCATCTTGCCAATATCTTTATTGCTTTCCCTTTTTAATATTCGCTTTTTAACAAATGAAATTGTTAAACCAGTGTAGTAATGGTATTGCTGGTGCACAATGCAAGTGTAAAATCAGAGGCAGTTAATTATAAATACAGTAAATGCATTATATCAAAAAATAAAAAGGGTTTAAGTTATTTTGCAGAAATGGTCATAGGTTAAATTAGAAAAGTTTCACATCGAGAGGACAGCTCGAAGCGTTTATTATGAAGGTTAACCCTCAAAAACTATGAGCATCAGCTGTTGAGCTGTTGCACAATAAACTTTTACACGGGTTTGGAAATAAGTTATGCACATTCGTTCGTATGGCAGTGCTCACATCAGTTCACATTACTGGGGGAGAAAATTTTCAGGGTGTGCAAAATTTGGCAAATGATTGCATTTGGGCTAAACTTTGTGCTGTGCTTACAAGAACTTACAGTGAACCAGTGTCATACTTAAGATTGCATTTAAATAACGTGCTAAGTCTGGGTGCTCTGAAACGCTGTACAAATAGAATAAACCTGGACCCAGGCGGAATTTTCAACCCCCTGGGTTTCACTTGTAATGCATTATTATTATTATTATTATTATTATTATTGATCAAAATACATTTGGGTTTGTTGTATCCTTTCCAGGTGATGATGAATGCAAAAGTCTCCAAAGATTGCCACTTACCTGGATCTCTGCGGTGATCAGGTCGGTGCTATTCTGGGCAGAAGGGCAGGTTTCAGTGGCCAACAGCCAGTAATCCGTCCCGAAAGCCAACAGAAACAGGAGAACCCCGAGAGCTCCAAAAACCCCGGCGAAGAACAGAGCCACTCTGAGCTTCATAGCGATCCTCTGCAGCGCACACTGATCTCTGTCTGTGCAATTAACCAGGTGCTGGTGCTGGTGCTGGTGGTGGAGGGGGAGGAGGGGGATGGCCAGAGCTCTCCTCCAATCTCACTTCTGTCTGTCTGTCCTCCTTCGGGAATTCTATCCTCTGCCCAAACCACTTTGCACAGGGATGTGTGCAGTGATACCAAAATAGTCTTTTGCAACCCTGACATACAGTATTACAATTCCTAACCACACAGGGTGTAGCCAGACTGACCCTCTCCTCTCGTTCCCTAAAATATTAGGATATTAAAGGGATGACCCTCCCCTCTCGTTCCCTAAAATATTAGGATATCAATTTCGCAAATCTTTGCAGCCTGCAAATCACTCTTTACAGAATGCAACACTAACTGTGCCGTTTCTCCTCCCCAAACACTTCTAAATCAAAAAGTATTGATGGATACGTCGCATGACCTTTAGCACATTTCTATTTAGGACAATGCTGCAGCAATGCTGGAGTCCTGTAGCTCAGTGGTTAGAGCACTCGCTTTGCAAGCGAGAGACCTGAGTTCAATTCCAGGCAGAGGGCGAAACCTTGGGCAAGTTTCCTTACTCCACACGCCTAATAATAATCCCTCCAAAACAAAAACAATAATAAATTGGTCATTTTCAATCTACGACTGTTTGTGGGACATTACTGTGCGCAATTGGCTGCCGCGTTCGCCCACAAATATACAGTCAATTCACTTTACAGTGTGTTCTGTGAAGCGCTTTGGGACGTCCTCCCGACGTGAAAAGCGCTATATCAAATGCAAGGATTATTATAATACAACTGCAACCCTGACCTTTTGTTTAATTGCAGTGTGGGATCCTATTGCACTCCTTGCTTTCTGGTTAGTGCACTCCCAACATCAACAACCTGCCCTATATAGTGCCTTTCATGCAGACCAGTGCCTCTGAGCACTTAACAGTGGTGGAGCCTGACTCGGAGCCAGGGGAAGGTAGGAGGTGATTGTAAGTATGGTCAAACAGTGGTCTAAAATGGTATTCAGACATGATCTCAAAGAGTGGAAGGAGGGGATCAAGGCAGAGGGATTGGCGTTGAGAGTTCCAGAGCTACTACTCAAATTAAGTTTCTGAATCTTTATTCAGAATACCAAGGATACAGCATGTGACTCCCCAGTCCTTTGGTCCTTTTGTTGATTTTGAGCGCATTATATACTGATTTAACGCACATGCTTCCAATTTATTAAAGCCTGCAGTGATGGTTTGTTGGATTCTTTTTGAAAATTGTATGTCAATGTAGCATGTTTTTGTTGTTTTGGTCGTGTTGGTGTTCTGGTGTGTGTTTCTAAAATAACTCGAGTTTCTAGGCATAATCATTTTTTAAAATCCTAGCTTTTGATATAGCGCCCTTCACGTCAGGAAGGCATCTTAAAGCACTTCACAGGATTTACCATAAAGAAATAGCGGCTGGCAACTTTTTTGACAGGTGAGGCAATCTGAATTTGCCTAATCAAGCAACTTGTTACCATTACAATGGGTGCTTCAACCATGTACAAAGCCAAAGCCTTATTTACCTCACCTGATGAACCATCACTGCTGTTAGGCGTATTAATAGTAAGTTTTTTTAAAGTGAACCAGCAAGCGATTTGTGCATAGTAATAATGTCCCACAAACAGCCACAAAGTAAATGACCAATTCTATTTGGGGGATTGTTGGTCAGATCACGAGGAGAAACATACTTCTCTTTTCAAACAGTGTCATGGGATTTTTAACATCCACCAGAACAGGCAGACAGGGCCTAACTTCTCATCTGATGCATATTCAACAAAACTGATAAACTGAAGTTCACATCTTCTGCTATATGAGGACTACCTTTATACAGTACAGAAATAAGATAATGTAGACACCAAAAATGAAAGGAGTGAGGACACAGTAATGTATGAAACTATTCAGTCAGTTGAGCCCATTCTTTGCAATGGATTTATAATGTCAAGGATTCTTTATAATCTATTTAATTTCTCGAGGAAGATAAATAGATGTAGTCAAGTAAACCAAAATAAATTAAAAGATTGTAAGGATTCTATAATAAATGTGTGAAATATTATCTGAGATTCTCAAGGCTGAAAAACACACAGGCTGTAGAACAACACTCTGAAAGTGTCTTTCAGTTCTTTTCCCATGGGAAAATAGTCTGCTCAAGGCCACTGCCTGCTTGAGGCTCCGGTTCCATTTTCTAAGAGGGAAAAACTAGAGACCAAAGGAATCATCTTGCAAAAGATGAAGTAGGTGAAAGATCATCTACCAACTGGATAAAGAGAGATCAATTTGGAAAAATAATCAGAAGAGATAGGGAGTTGGAACTTGGAGTTGTGAACCATATTCCAGCTTCTAAAAAAGGAAGATCAAGACTTAAACGACTGTCAACAACTTTATCGACACTCTCCAGTCGCAACAGTAAAGCTTTTGGGTGATTGAACAATAGTATGGCAGTACCTAAATACTATTTGGTGGATTAAATTGGACATTAAATCGGACATTACTCCTCCACCTCTTCCGCAACATTTGGTTTGGCCAATCATTGTGAACTGTATATGGATACGTAAGCATTATTCAGTTTATTCTTTTAACTAACTATTTTAATCTGAATTAATAAACATCATTTTTTATATAAGATTTGTCTTCACTGCATGGTTAAAATATACATCTTACATGATGAAATATATTCCAAGCCCTGAAGCAAAAAATCCAAGATTTAATCTAAAATTATAAATCTAAGATTTAATCTAAATTGTCCACGTCTAATTTACTGCATTTCACAGAAGGTACCATACCTGTACTTCCATTGTCTAGCTTTCAGCGTATCTGTCCCCACCCTCAGGAACTCCATCCCGAGTCCATTTGACTCAGATGCAAACCTTAGGTCGTTAAGTGTTTTGGGACAACCTCTCAACATGAAAGGCGCTATATACAGGTAAAATAAAATTTCTATTGTATTGTCCCAACAGAAAGAGGACTATGATGTTCACAAGGTGTATCAAAATGTCCCTGGGATCAAATCCATATATTTTAATTGATCTGTACTGTAATCTGATCAACTGTATATTTAGTAGCCAGCAGCGAAGTTAATTCAGTTGAAGGTCCTTCACAGATTTTATTTTACTGTACTGAATAACATGGCCAAACTGGGGAACTTGCCATAGGATAAATGTTAGTGTTGTGTCTGATGAAAGGCCACAAACACACATATTGTGGAGTTGTCCTAGCCGTATTCCCTTTAGGACACAGAGGTGAATATGATAGCAATAGTGGAGAAGTTAAACATTAACAATGTCTCTGAATTACACATAATAGGATATTTGTCAAAGATTTGTGTTCCACATATTTAAATAGAATGAATTGATCAGACCTATTGATGTCGAAGAGAGATATAGAGATAATTTAGCAATTAAAAAGGCTGGATACATTTTATATTCCCACTAGGTAAATGAGCCTTCAAAAATATGAATCTGGAGAATTAGTATTTTATTATGTGAAGAGGTTGTAGCTTTATCATCAAATGTGGGACAGAATGATGGGCATCCTCAAAATATCCTCTTTATGGGGATACTCTTTCTATGTACCGAAACACTATTTTGACAACATTCAGGTTTGGGAAACCCACACTGGATCCCTCTGAACTCTCCAGTTATCGTCCCAATTCCAACCTGTCCTTCCTTTCCAGGGTCCTTGAATGTGGTTGTGATCTCCCCACTCTGTTCCTTCCTCTCACTCCATTTCTGTATGAGTCATTCCCATCGAGCTTATGTCCCACTCACATTACTGAGAGTGTCCTGGTCAAAGTCACAGACTACATTCTTTTTATCTGCAATCAGGGTGTGTCTTCCTGTGCCTTTTTGTCCTTCTCAATCTCTCTGATGCGTGCTACATCGCTGACCAGTTGGATGGGTAGTGGCTGGGTGGGGAGGGGACTGAGAGAGTAGAGCAGGTGGTGTTCTTCATATGAGATTGAAGAAGAATGAGGAAGAGATGGGGTTAAAAATGTGCAGCATAGGGGCAGTGGAGGAGTAGGGGTCGTGCGATGGAATGGGGGCAAGAGAAAGACAACTGCATATAGGGCTAAATAATGATTGAAAATCTTCAGAATTCCATGGCTTTGGGAAACATTTGACACAAATATAACACATTTAACACAAGGTGGTCAAAAAGCATCTTAATATGTGAGCTTGTGATGCTGCAATTAGAAGGCAGATGTTCTTCACTCACCACTCTGTGTGAATTTGTGGATTCTCTAAAGCAGTGGGGGCCAACCTTTTCGGTCGGATAAAGTCGGATTGGGATTGTTAAGGATACTGTACAATGGAGACACTCAGTCAAGGGGACTGGCCACATGGTCATGAAGCATCCTGAGTGAATTGTTTTTGACACAAGAATGATGGGAACGTATATATGGTTTGGCTAAGCTTTGCCAAAATGAACCATATACATCGGAAGCCGCTTAAATCAGTAGCCGGTTAACTCCGAGTTTGCCTACAAATACAGTCACTCCCATTCCATAGTAATTCCTGTGAAGCGCTTTGAGACGTCCTTCCTACTAATAAGGTGCTATACCAAATACAAGGATTATTATTATTCCCTCCCTCTCTCTTTCCATCCTCGCTCCTTTTTTTTTAACTTCTCCCTTTCTCTCTCCTCCTCCTCCTCCTCCCACCCTTTCTTTCTCCTCTCGCTCACACTGTCATCCCATCCTTCCTCCTTTTTTTTCTCTCTCCTCCCTTCTCTCTTTCCTTCCCCCTTTCTCCGGGTCTCCCCCCTCTCCCTGCTTTCTCTCTCTTTCTTCCTTTCTCCCCTTTCTTTCTCTCTCTCTCTCTCTCTTCTACTTTGCCCCTCTACCCCTTTCTTTCTCTCCCACCCCTTATCCTTCCCTCTCTCCTCCTCCCTTGTCTCTGCCTCTTCCCTCTCCTCGTCTTTTCTCTCTCTCCTTTTTCTTTCTCCCTTTCTCTCTCTATCCTCCTTTCTCTCTCTCCTTTTCCTCCTTTTTCTTTCTCCTCCCTCTCTCTATCCTCCTTCCCCTCTCTCCTCCCCCCTCTCTCTCTCTCCTCCTCTCTCTCTCTCTCTCTACCCTCTCTCCCTCTCTCTACCCTCTCTCCTCCTCTCTCTCTCCCCTCTCTCCTCCTCTCTCTCCCTCCCCTCTCTCCTCCTCCTCTCTCTCTCTCTCCCCTCTCTCCCCCTCTCTCTCTCTCTCTCCTCCTCTCTCTCTCTCTCTACCCTCGCTCCTCCTCTTTGCTCTCTCTCTCCCCCTCTCTCCCTGTGGCTGTGTGTGGCTGTGTGTGTGGTCTGTGGCTGGTGGAGTGGGTGCTGCTGACCATGGATGGGTTGGGGTTGGGGCGGAGGGAGTTGCTGAGCCGTCTGTATGTGGTGGGATTCCTGGTAAGTGGAGCGGCTGCAGAGCAACAAAGTATCAATTCCTTTTTTGCAACCCGGAAGCAAGTGTTACAGTGTCACCAGAGAGAGAGAGAGAGACACACACACACAGCAGTTCACTGCACAGTCTGAGTGGGGCCAACGCGTTTGTTTGTTCATTTAAAAAGAAACTATTTGCAAGTGAATTCTCTGCTGTCCTGAGTCATTCAGTCAGGCACACACAGGGGACCCTCCTCTCCCACCCCCCCCCCCACTGTTCCTGGGGCTCATCGTACAGCGTGTCCAAAGGCCCATTTTGCAGGATTTCCGCAAACCCACCGGGACCCCGACTGGTGACTCAACTCGACGAGTTACCCTTGGCTTCTTGACAGAGAGGCTCGTCAACGCGTCGTGGAAACGCCTTCTCGAAGCGCGCGGCGGGATTTTCACCGCCGAGTGTGGCGACTGCATTTTGTAGGCGAATGCGGTGGCCGACTGAGGGGAACATCGCAACTGACTGACTTAGCTCACAAAATATACAGTCAATTCACTTTACAGTATATTCTGTGAAGCGCTTTGAGACGTCTCAACGACATAAGATGCTATATCAAATGCAAGGATCATTATTATCGTTGCTTTTCAGTGAACAACAACAATTTACACTCATGTAGTGCCGTTCATGCTGGAAGGATGTCTCGAAGGGTTTCGCAGTTACCTGGGCTGTACTCGGCGTATTTGGTGGTGGGGGGGAGGTAAGCGGGTGGGGGGGGGGGGAACTGAGGAGGCCAAAAGCCTGGTCGAAAAGATATGTTTTCAGGTGGGGAGGTAGTGGGCAAGGCAAAAGGACTCCTGAATGGAAGTTCAGAGATCGGGGCAGAATGATTGAAAGCTCACCCACTGATGATCAGGAAGTTTGGGTGGGGGACAAGTTGGTGTTTGCTGAGCAGAGGGAGGACTGTGAAAAGTATCTTCCTTGGTGTATTAAACCATTGTGGGTTGAACCAAAATATGTTCTGGGGAGCATGATTGACTATCCCTGTACATGACTTAAAACAAATCATTCTCTTCACCTCCAGCTGGATTTTGTTGAATGAAATTGAAAGCTGGGGAAAAGAGGGACAAAATCTATTCTAGGTTTCTTAAAACTAAAGTTTATAACATCATGGCCATCGCATTTGTGGATGTTTACAATAAAAACAATCTTTGCATTTGATATTGCCCCTTTCATGTCAGGAGGATATGTCAATCCAATTCACTGATATACTGTGACGAAGGAGGAGGAGAGAGGATAGAGAGAGAGAGAGTGAGAGAGAGAGAAAGGAGGAGGAGAAAGGGTAGAGAGAGAGAGAGAAAAGAGGAGAGAGGGGAAGGACAATTGAGCGATTTTATATTTTAAAGGCAAACACATTTTAAACACAACAGGTATAGTATTCAACCCCACTTATAGGTTTGGGCTATGATACTCATCGACCTTAATAATAATAATAATAATCCTTGCATTTGATATAGCGCTTTTCACGTCGGGAGGACGTCCCAAAGCGCTTCACAGAACACACTGTAAAGTGAATTGACTGTGGGCGAACGCGGCAGCCAATTGCGCACAGCAATGTCCCACAAACAGTCATGGATTGAAAATGACCAATTTTATTATTGTTATTGGTTTTGGAGGGATTATTATTAGGCGTGTGGAGTAAGGAAACTTGCCCAAGGTTTCGCCCTGCCTGGAATTGAACTCAGGTCTCTAGCTTGCAAAGCGAGTGCTCAACCACTGAGCTACAGGACTCCACATAATAGAGTGAGCAACTGAATATGCTCAACGTGATTTAGTACAAAGTCTGGTGCTCATCTGGTAATTCAATTACTCAGGAAGTCATCCACCCCACAGAAATTATTAGCAGCCCTGATCACTTCTGTAAATCTGCTTCAGGTTCTGAGGTTCAGAATTTTTTTTTCGAAAGTTGGAAGCTTCAGTTTTGGAGTGAATAAAAATGTACACCGCAATTCTCATTTCCCAAGTTGACTTTTCTGCAAATTGTAAATACTGTAGCTGTAATTATTACAAACTGTGTGATCCCATATCAGCTAAGCAAGCTTAGCTCTGCATACCATATTTTGATGAATGGACTCAATCCGAGAATCAGCTCAAGTTAATGCAACCTACTTTAGAAATCCAAGCACTTGTACATAGGAATATAGTAAGGATCTAGTGCCTTCATAATTCCACTGACAGTTTTTCTGTAGACAAATTATTTTAACTTTTTTAAACAGTGAAAACCTACATGAATCATTGAAGAACATTGAGTTTAAAATGAATTTGTTAGCATGATATAATTGAGACTTGTGGCAGAATCCATATTAGCTTTCAAAAAGGCAAATGGATAAATATCTAAAAGACAGTAAACTATGGGGAAACGGCAAGTAAATAGGACAGAGACGATTGCTCTTAAAAGAGCCAGCACAGATAGGACGGGCCAAATAACCTTTACTGTGGTGTAAATTTCTATAGTTTTATAGATATTACCACCTGAAGTCCTGTGTGATTCTTGTTCTTGCTGAGCTTCTATTTGTGGGATGAAAAGGAAAGAACCATATTATACTTGGCTAATGTGAACTGCTTGATTGTCAACCAAATATTCATCTTGGCCTTGGAGAAATTGCTCGTTGTCTATGCTATCTCATTCTCTTTGTTGGAGGTTGGTGTGAGAAGCTATTCTGCATGAGGAGTGCTATAGACATGCAAATTGTTGTGTTGATGAACAATGTGCAAGAAATTATTGCAGTGTTGACTCACAGGATGATACTGTGGTATCTTCCTTCCCATTCCTTATCCTTTGTGCTTTTATAGACAAACATACATAAAACAACAAATTACATTTATATAGCACCGTTCACATCAAGAGGACGCCCCAAGGCGCTGGACAGTCAGGGATTTGCACCCAAGCAGGGGGTAGGGATCAGGAGGGGTGAAGATTAGGGAGTGCAGTGGTAAGGTTGGTGACCGAAGGCGCATCCATGAATAGAAATAGAGCAGTTTTGCACCTGAATACATTATAACATTGGGAGCCTGAAATCAACAGGGATTCTATCCCTCTGTGACTTGCATCCAGAAGTTAATCATCATTTGCAGAACCTAGATCCTAGTAACGTGCATCAGGAAGTTCCTGGGTGTATCCCCTAATATTTGTGTACCCTACCTCTTTTCCTTTTGTGCTCGCATATATGCAGAGAGATTCCCAAAAGCCTCCCTTCCTGTTGTCATGCAATTTTAAGCTTTTTATTCATTATTTGGCTTAACTCTATTTTCAGTATATCTATCTTATTGAACATTAACACATTTAAGCGCTCTGAGACCCTACCCTACATGGAGGATGCTATGTAAGTGCAAGTTGTTGTTGTTGTTGTAGCTTCTATTTGTACAATTAGGTTTGCGTAGGATGTATTCATACTTGCAGCAATCAACATAACTTTTACTAGTCTTAATTTTTTTTTCTGTGTGCTTGTGTGTTTAGGATCTATTCGGGGTCAGTTTGATAGTTCCTTTATTAAATCGACACATCAAATGTCTTGGAGGAAGCTCAACAACAACAGGCTTAGTAGGTCAGTATGATAATGATCCCAGTTTTAAAGTGTTAAGTAAAGCAGAATATAAACTTAACTAAGCTTAGCAATTTTTGTTTAGACATTTTCTATGCTAAACAATTTCCTAAAGAGAAATTCTTAGATTCTCACAAATGTCAACATGGATGGAGGCCACTGAAGGTGATAACGTGAATGACGCTTCATGTGCACGGCACATAAGTGGTGTCAGCCTGGCTCAGTGGGTAGCACTCTTACCTCTGAGTCAGAAGGTTGTGGGCTCAAGTCCCACATCGGGACTTGGAACAGCCAATCTAAGCTGACACTCCAGTGCCGTTCTGGGGTTGTGCTGCAATGCTGGAAGTGCTTTCTTTCAGATGAGACATTAAACAGAGTCTCAGGTCGACATTAAAGGTGCCACGGCACTATTCGAAACATGAAGGGAGTTTCTCCTGGTGTACTAATCAACAATCCCCCCAAATAATTAAAAAAATTGGTCATTAAAAATTGGTGAGCTCACAATCCATGACCTCACCATCGAAAAAAATATTGACATCCTCACCGAAACTTGGGTCACCCCAAGCGACACCTTCCCATTAGTTGAGGCGACATCTCCAGGTTACACCTTTCACCAAAATCCACGGCCTAATCGCCATGGCGGTGGTGTGGCTCTCATCTCCCGGTCTCCCCTTGGCCTTTCCCTTTACTCCTCCAGAACCTTCCCCTCCTTTGAACACCTTACCCTCTACCACCCCTCCAGGCTTTCCTTCAAAATTCCTTGTTTACTGTCTCTCCAAGCCTTCCCCCACCTTCCTCTCGGACATCTCCACCCTACTATCTTCCCTCTCCCTCTGCTCTGAACGCCTCCTTATCTTAGGCGACTTCAACCTCCATTTCACTCCTTCCTACTCTACCTCTGCCGACTTCTCCTCCCTCCTCTCTTCCCTCAACCTCTCTCTCCTCATCCACTCCCCCACCTACGACCGTGGCCACCCCCTTGACCTAGTGATCACCCGGGGCCTCACCGTCTTGAACATTGTCAATAAAGCCATCTCGGACCACCACTTCATCTCCCTCAACACCTCAGTACCCCTTTCCCTTTCCCAATCCTCCACCATTACATACCATCCATGGAAAAAAATTTCTGCCCTCTCCCTCTCCACTGCCCTGGAGTCATCTGAACTCCTACACCTCTGGCCCTCACTGACCGATCTCCCCTCCTCACTCTCCTTTCTCCACAACTCCCTCTCCTCCATCCGTGGAGTCCTGTAGCTCAGTGGTTAGAGCACTCGCTTTGCAAGTGAGAGACCTGAGTTCAGTTCCAGGCAGGGCGAAACCTTGGGCAAGTTTCCTTACCCCACACGCCTAATAATCATCCCTCCAAAACCCAAAACAATAATAAATTGGTCATTTTCAATCTACGACTGTTTGTGGGCCATTGCTGTGCGCAATTGACTGCCGCATTCGCCCACAAATATACAGTCAATTCACTTTACAGTGTGTTCTGTGAAGCGCTTTGGGACGTCCTCCCGACGTGAAAAGCGCTATATCAAAATGCAAGGATTATTATTATTATTATTATGGACTCCCTTGCCCCCCTCACCTCCCAAACTGTCTCATACTCCTGTAAATTCCCCTGGTATACCAGCCATTTCCGTTCCCTCACGGCACAAGTGCGAGCTGCCGAACGCGCCTGGACCAAATCCAAATTAACGGTCCATCGGCAGATTTGGCTTCACACCAAGACTTACCACTGTGCTTTTGCCTCCGCCAAATCCTCTTTCTACTCCAAGGTTATCTTGGAGGCAAAGGAAAATCCCAGGCTTCTCTTTTACACCACTATCCGTTCTCCTCCGTCCTCCTTCCCATACCTCGCCCATCCTCTCCTCAAACTCCAACTGTGAGGAGATGCTGGACTTCTTCGAATCTAAAATCGAGAGGATACATTCAGCCACCTCAGCCCCATCCACAGCACCCCCACATCACCTCTCCCTCATGATCCACCCCCCACCCATCCACCCCTATACTCCTTCGACCCTATCTCTCCCTCCTCCCTCACCACGTCTGTCCGCAAACTCAAACCCACCACCTGCTCCCTCGATCCCATCACCACTTCTCTCCTCATCTCCCAGCTCCACCTTCTGGCCCTTCACCTGTTCGATGTCATCAACCTCTCCTTGTCCACCGGTTCAGTTCCCACCCCCCTAAAAACAGCTGTCATCACCCTTATCTTGAAAAAACCTTCCCTGGATCCATCCCTCCTCTCCAGCTACCGCCCCATCCCTAACCTCCCATTCCTCTCCAAAGTCCTGGAACGAGTCGTCACGTCCCAGCTCCGCTCCTTTCTCTCTCGCCATTCCCTCTTTGAACCCCTCCAATCCGGCTTCCATGCTGCTCATAGCACGGAAACAGCTCCGGTCAAAGTCACTAATGACATTCTGAACATCTGTGATCGGGGCTCCCTCTGCCTCCTTGTCCTCCTCGACCTCTCTGCCGCCTTCGACACTGTCAACCACTCCATCGTCATACACCGCCTCTCCACTTTACTCAATCTTCACGGACCTGCCCTTGCCTGGTTCGATTCCTATCTCTCTCACCGTCTCCACTTTGTTGCCTCGGTTTCTCCTCCAGCCCCCACACTGTCATGTCTGGCGTCCCCCAGGGCTCTGGCCTTGGCCCTCTCCTCTTTAATATCTACATGCTCCCCCTTGGTGACATCATCCGCAGACATGGGGTCAACTTCCACATGTATGCGGATGACACCCAACTCCATTTTCTGCCTCCACCCTCAACTCCAGGACCACTGCTGTCCTGACAGACTGCCTGTCGGACATCAAGTCCTGGATGAGGGGAAATTTCCTACAGTTGAATGTGAACAAGACTGAAGCCCTTCTGATTGACTCGAGCCAGCACCTCAGCACCTCAGGGCTCTGGCAGCATCAACCTCCATGTTTGCACACTTCAACTCACCAAGCCAGTCAGGAACCTAGGTGTCTTGTTCAACCCTCAACTGTCTTTTCTCCCCCACATTCAAGTCATGACCCGTTCTGCCTTCCCTCACCTCCGTAACATCGCCCAACTCCACCACTACCTCACCCCTCAGGCCACTAAAACTCTTGTTTATGCCTTCATCACCTCCAGGCTCAACTATGCAAACACCCTGCTTGTCGGCCTTCCCAACTCCTCAGTCCACAGGCTGCAGATAATCCAGAACTGTGCAGTCCGTGTCCTCTCCTGCACCAAACTCCGTGACCCCATGTCCCCCACTCTCGCCCGACTCCATTGGCTCCCTATCTTTCAGAGGATCCAGTTCAAGATCCTGGTCCTCACATACAAAACCCTCCATGGCCTCGCCCCACCCTACCTCTGCGACCTCCTAACACCCTACCAACCCGCCCGTTTCCTCCGCTCAGCTGGCTCCGGCCTGCTCCACGTCCCCCGATCCACCCGCCCCATCATTGGCGGGAGAGCCTTCAGCCACTCTGCCCCCAATCTCTGGAATTCCATCCCCCGGTTACTCCGCCTCACCCCCTCCTTAGCCTTTTTCAAGTCCCGCCTCAAGACTCTCTTCTTTGACCATGCCATCGGCTACCCCACTTCCCCTCCCGTCTCTTCTCCCCCCCCTGATCCCAGCTCGGGTCTGAAATGCTGTACTCTGTCCAGCGCCTTGGGACGTCCTCCCGACATGAAAGGTGCTATACAAATGTAATCTTGTTGTTGATGTTGTATTCATTTCATGGGCTGTTGTGGGACATTGCTGTGTGGAAAACTGACTGTTACGTCATATCATAGAGAGAATTAAAAAGAGGAAGAGAGAAAGAATAGAGAGAAAGAATAACTGCATAGTGTAGTACTGTATTATAACAACAGTATAATTCTTGATGGAAGACATCTTGGTTTGAGAATTTGTATTTTGCTTAATGATCAATTATCCACACTGTTTGCTCATCCATAAAATGACCGATTGCATTTAGTGTAGGTAATTAGAAACAATCCCTGAGGGACACCACTTAATACCGCCCACCATACAGAGAGTGTTCCTTTTATCCAAATTCTCTACTTCTTGCCTCTCATCATGATATTGCCTTGAATTCTATGTGACTTAATTTTAGCAAATATTCTCATATGTGGCACTTTATCAGACAGCTTCTGAAAATCCATATGGTTCTGTGAACTGTAGTGATTGTCCATTTCTCCTCACCTACCCTCACCTACCCTCTGTTTCTTTTAAAGACTATTTTAAATCTGTGTCCTCAGGTTACCCACCCACCCGCCAGTGGAAATAGTTTCTCCTTGTTCACCCTATCGAATCCCCTCATAATTTTGAAAACTTCAAAGTCTCATCTTAACCTTCTCAGCTCCAAGGAGAAAAATCCTAGCTTCTCTAGCCTCTCGTAATATCTAAAGTTCCTCATTCTTGGTACCGTCCTGGTAAATCTCCTTCGCACCATGTCCAATGCCTTGACATCATTACTAAAGTGGTGTGTGCAGAACTGAACACAGTACTCTCGCTTTTTTTAGGTACCTGTCCTGCCATCTTCAAAGATTCACTTATATGAACTCCCAGGTCTCTCTGTTCCTTCACCCCCTTTAAGATTGTACTATCTAGCTTATATAGCCTCTCCTCATTCTTCCAAAATGCATCATTTCGCATTTCTCCACATTAAACTTCATCTGGAGTGGAGTCCTGTAGCTCAGTGGTTAGAGCACTCGCTTTGCAAGCGAGAGACCTGAGTTCAATTCCAGGCAGGGCGAAACCTTGGGCAAGTTTCCTTACTCCATACGCCTAATAATAATCCCACCAAAACCAAAAACAATAATAAATTGGTCATTTTCAATCTACGACTGTTTGTGGGACATTGCTGTGCGCAATTGGCTGCCGCGTTCGCCCACAAATATACAGTCAATTCACTTTACAGTTTGTTCTGTGAAGCGCTTTGGGACGTCCTCCCGACGTGAAAAGCGCTATATCAAATGCAAGGATTATTATTATTATTATTATCTGCCATGTGTCTGCCCATTTTACCGATCTGTCTATGTCTTCTTGCAGTCTGCTACTTTCCTCCTCACCGTTTACTACTTTTCCTAGCTTAGTATCATCTGCAAACTTGGAAATTATACTCCCTATACCCAAGCCCAGGTCATTTATATAGATCAAAAAGAGCAGTGGTCCTAATACCTGGGGGATACCACTGTATATTTCCCTCCAGTCAGAAAATCAACTGTTCACCATAGCTCTCTGCTTTGTCTCTCAGCCAGTTCTGTATCCATGTTGCCACAGTCCCTTTAATACCATGGGCTTTTATTTTGCTTACAAGTCACTTTATCAAACGCCTTTTGAAAATTGATAGAAACTACATCAACTGCACTACTTCATCCACCCTCTCTGTTACTTCATCAAAAAAACTCTTATCAGATTTGTTAGACACGATTTGCCTTTAACAAATCTGTATTGGCTGTCGTTTATTAATCCATATTTTTCTAAGTGAAAATTTATTTTGTTCCGGAATATAGTCTCTAGAAGTTTCCTTACTGCTGACAATACTGAACTTGGAAAATATCACTGTGAAGATTGATACTGAACTTCCTGTTGAAACTGGATTGTGCCAGCTCAGCAAAGTGTTCCTTTCTTTATTAGAAAGGTTTTCTTTGGCAAATTTAGTTTGTCAGTAAATCTAAGATGATGTCTGACAGTATTTTTAAGCATAACTGTTACAATTCAACAGATATTACTAAACACCATATTTTTCAAAAGACTAAAGAACCAAATAAATTCTGTTGAATAAAAACTGAGTGGTTGCATTTTTGTTTCAGGTTCTGTTTATGGGATCCTGCAGCTATTTTCCGGTACAGTGATTGTAAGTATGACAGTATTTTAGTAATATCGGAATAGAAACCAAAATTGAACTTAATATTTTGGCAATTGATCTGATCTTACAGTTATCAACTGTATTGTAAAAGAACTTAATGTTCTCACGGTATGGGAAAGGTAGTTTTGTTTACTCTGGGCATGCAGTCAATTATATTATGGAGGATATGGAGCTCTATGCAGTAAACTGATACTAATCGTAGTCTGGCCTGTCATTTACATTTGGGAATAAAAACATTCCAACACTAGTATTCACATTTGTGAGGTGGAATTTCAAGCTAGGATACAAAGCAAAGAAGTTCCTCAGTGAACTGTTTATTTTACCAATGATACACAATTAACTAGTTCCCACCCAACACCACCTTCTCTTCCTTCCTCCCTCCCTCCCTCCTCACTCATTCACTCCCAATCACACACTCATGCATGTATAAATGCAAGCATACAAAAGTCCTCATATTTAGGTGCTTGAAAATAGGAGGAGACCATTTCCTCCATCAAGCGCATCCCATATCCCACCTTTTCTCCTCATCCCTTAATATCTCTACTTCTGAAGTATCTGTCTGTTTTCCCTTTATGATTCTGCTCTAAAACCTTCTGGGCAGGCCTTTCCACATTTTTCACTCCACAGAACATGCTAAGTCTACTTAGCTTCTCATTATAGCTGAACTCTTAATAGCTGGTATTAATCTAATGAATCAATGCCAAAGCTAGTATATACTTCCTAAAATTAAATGGTCAAAAATGAACACAGCATAACTGCATAGTGAATTCCTCTGCTTCCATTTAAATCCATTGAGCTCCAATGGGTTGCGATATTGGAAAAAAAAATGTAGTTGCAAACCTGGTGTGTGAGGTTACTAGGAATTCGATGTATCTGTACAGTGCACTTTTGAACCAGCAGTGTGAAGCTAAGTGTTTATTTAGCAATCTTTTACAGGTACATTGTAGGGATAGAGATGGATAGGCAATGGTGTAAGAGGAGGTTAGAGACATAATGAGAGACAGATAGAGAATTAGAGAAAGGAAGTGCCACAGGGAGAGAAAGAGTAGCTGCATAGTGTAGTACTGTATTGTAACAATATAATTCTTGATGGAAGACGTCTTGGCTTGAGAATTTGTATTTTGCTTAATGATCAATTATCCACACTGTTTGCTTATCCATAAAATGACCGATTGCATTTAGCATAGATAATTAGCAATAATCCCTGAGGGACACCACTTAGTACTGCCCACTACACAGAGACTTTCTTTTATCCAAATTCTCTACTTCTTGCCTCTCAAACAAATTCCTGTCCATATCATGATATTGCCTTGAATTCTATGTGACCTTATTTTAGCAAATAATCTCATATGTGGCACTTTATCGGACATCTTCTGAAAATCCATATGAATGATATCCATTGATGTTCTTTCATCTATTGCCTCAGCAATCTACCTGTGTGCTAAATCAGATTGTTAATAATGTATACTTTGGGATTGTGGACTTAAGGTCAGAAAAGAACATTGTGTGAAGAAGAGCTTTGTGCAGAGAATGAAAATGAAATAAGTATTCTATTATCCACAAAGAAATCTGTTCTTTCACAAAACCAAGCTAACTCCCAGTTTTGTGCATACTTATCCAGCATTGCTGATGAAATATGATGCATTTATGAAAAGTGAATTACTGTGTGAAACGCTGGGCCTCAATTCAGAAAAGACATATGACGCATGGAAAATGGGAGAGTAGTTCAAGTAGTTGCTTGTAGTTAAAGTATCGTAAATTAGGTCAAAAAATTCACTGGTACAGAGTGAATCTATTGTTAACCTTCAAAATTTTGAAAGGTTTTGGGAAAGTAAATCATAAAATATTATTCCTATTCTTTGATGGATCAGTTATATGGGACACAAATTTAGGATTGCAAATGAAGTGGAAATAGACGAGGTTCGAAGAAACCTGAGCCTGAAACCCTTATAACATTTGTCAAAACAGTTGGAGGCAGCAAAAAGGCAAATAGAATACTGGGATGTATTGCTAAATCAATTAAATTTAGATCCCCAGACGTAATTCTCATTGAATGTACAGTCCTCTGCTCAGACCTTACTTTGAATACTGCATACAGTTCTGTCCCCACCTCATGAAGAAGGGCCTTCAGTTCATCCGATCCCTTTCCTCCAGAACACCCACCCTATCGTCCAGGCCCTAGAGGCAGTGCAGAGGAGAGCAACAAAGATGCTCCCCAGTGTTAGAGGAATGAGCTATGAAAAACGATTAGACAAGCTAGCACTCTTCAGTCTTGAGAAAAGAGAACTCAGAAGGGACATCACAGAGGTGTAGAAAATTTTAAATGGGATTGAAAAAGCAAATGCAGAATAATACAAGAAAACTATTAACCTTGAGATAATAATGCAACAAGACAGTGGAACAAGAGAAGATAGGTTTAGAGTTGTAAAGGGCAATTTTAGGAAGCTTTTCTTTACACAGAAGGTATTCATCGATTGGAACAGCTTGACAGGAACGGTGGTAGAGGGGAGGACACTGCACTCATTTAAAATGCAGCTTGATGCTATGATGGGGAGATGGTAAGGCTGGTGATCTGTCGGGACAAGATCCCATGGGCCAAAAGGTCTTCTTCAATCAGACCAATTTTTTGAACTTGTGATTTAAAAGAGGATTGAATAAACATTTGAAGAGAAAGACTATAAAGGGGATGGAGACAGAGGAGAGAATTGAAATGAGATAAAATAGCTTCAAAGGAGAAGTTGGCAAAAGCGGAAGCTCATTAGATCAAATCGTCTCCTATGCTGTTATTTTCATGATTTTGCAAGACCACATTGTATGAACTGATCTAATGCAAGAATTATTATAACTACAGCCTGGCGTCTCTGTCAACACACCAGATATCTCGAGGTTAATAGTTTTCTTGGAGTTGTTACCTTTTATTGAAATGCAGTGCATAGTGAATTCTTGGCTGAAGAAAAGATTCTGGCAAACATTAATTTAACAGGAATCCATGAACCACATGATTTGCCCTTCTTAGGACTCAATGAACAGCTTTGTGATGTGAGTTATGATATCTATCCTGCTGAAGTTAAATGCGTGACTTAACACAAGGCATGCCTTTAAATAGAGTAACACTAATTTGCAGTCAAAAATAACAAAAACAACAAAATTACATTTGTATAGCGCCTTTCATGTCGGGAGAACTTCCCAGGGCGCTGGACAATCAATGTTTCGGAACCGAGCTGGGGGTCAGAATTGGGGAGGGTGGAGAGCAGGGGGGGAAAGGAGAGTGATTGAAGGGACGGTCAATCTTCGATCACCCTCCTCGAATGAGGGGGAAGGCAGAATGGATCATGGTATGGATGTGGGGTAGAAAGAATAGTTGAGGGTCAAACCACGACCCCAAGGTTCCAGACTGACTTAATAAGGTGGAGTGTGCATCCTTGGATGGTGATGCTATCAGCGCCTGAGGTGTGGAGACGGGAGCCACTCAGGAGAGCCTCAGTCTTGTTGACATTCAACTGAAGAAAGTTAGCTCTCATCCAGGACTGACAGACATTTTTTCAGGACACAAGTGGTCCTGGAGTCGAGGGTGGAGGTAGAGAGATAGAATTTGGTGTCATCTGCATACATATGGAAATTGATCCCATGTCTGCGGATGATGTCACCAAAAGGGAACATATAGATATTGCAAAGGAGGGGACCAAGGACAGAGCCCTGAGGAACTTCACACAAGACGGTGCAGGGACTAGAGGAGAAGCTGTTGTGGGGATGAAGTGGAGATGAATGAAGTGGACGAGAAGGCAGAGGGAGCCCTGATTGCAGATGGACAAAATGTCATTTGTCACTTTGACCAAAGCTGTTTCTGTGCTGTGGGTGACAGGGAAACCTGAGGAAGATTGTGGGAGGGTCGAGGAGGGATAGGAGGCGGAGAGGGCGGTGGGAGAGAAGGGTTGAGCGAGAATAGTGGAGGGTAGGGGACAGAGGTGGGAGCATTTTTGGGGAGAAGCAGCTCGGGTTGGTGGCGGCAGTCAAATTGCACATGCCGAGACTGGACAGTGTGGCTGGGGGTGTGGGGGTTGGGGGGGGTATTAAGACAGAAACCCTTGATTGATTTGTTGTAATCTGTCAGGTATATATTCACATTTTGGGCATCAAATTTGAATTTGTCCACGCTGTAAAGTAATACAACAATCTTTATAGTTTGCAATGAGTTTACAATAATGTAAAGTATGGTTTATCAAACATGTGTGAATAGTAGAAAATCATTGTCTCTGCTTATGAAGATAATTTTCATGCACAAAGCTCTACTTTTCATAATATTTTCTCCTGATCATAGATCCATAACCCTAAAGTGTACATTATTATCAGTCTCATTTTGAAACTTGCAACACAGGTGGGGATTGCTGAGGTGTATATATCACAATTTGTGAATGCTGGATTTGACATTTGTGTTAGGCTGATTTCTTCTCAAGATAGTGACTCTTTTCTGGGAGAAGGTTCCATGGAGTTGAACACCTGTAGAACCATAGAAATTTACCATAGAGAAGAAAGCTAATCGGCCCATTGTACTTCTTCTGGCTTTCTGAAACAGCTCCCCATTTCGTCCCACTCACTTCCCATTTCCCCATATCTTTTTATATTTTTCCTCTTGAGATATTATAAGTGGCCAAGCAGCCAACTCCGATCATTTCATTACCCATTGTCCACACATGCCTTTTCAGCAGGGAAGGATTGGAGAGGGAATCACTGGATAATAATAATAATAATCCTTGCATTTATATAGCCCCTTATCAGGTCTTCAAGACATCTCAAAACGCTTCACAGGATATACTGTAAAGTGGATTGACTGTAGGTTGATTGTATATTGGGCGAAACGCTGCAGCCAATTTCTAACAGCAGTGACCCACAAACAGTCGTGCATTGAGTGACCAATTTATTATTGTTTTTTTTTTGGGGGGGGGAAGGAAACGCGCTACTTCTGATGACTGTCTCAGAAAGTCAAAAACACAATATGGTGGGGGAGGGAGGATTCCCTAATAAAATAATAATCCTTGCAATTGAGATATCGCACCTGATCACATCGTTGAGACATGTCAAAGCGCTTCACAGCATATACTGTAAGGTGTAGTGGCTGCGTATTTTATAGTTGAAACGCGGCAGCCAGTTGCGCACAGGAGTGTCCTGCAAACAGTGGTGGATTGAGTGACCATTATTATTAATATTATTTATATTTTAAATAGTGGGTGGGAATGGGGAGGTGGGTGGGGAGGAAATACACACATGGTTAAGGATCAGTGATGGTGATCAGGGACAGGAATGCCCCTGTCTGCCTTTTCAGTGGACCTTAAAGATTCCAGTGCTCTGGCCTACAACCCTCCAATTAAAATTGGTCAGTCATTCACTTCATGGCTATTGTGGACATTGCTGTGTCTAAATTAGCTGCTTTGTTTGCGCACAAAACACAGAGTCACACCACTTTATAGTATATCCTGTGAAGCACTTTGGGATGTCCTCCTGACATGAAAGTGCTATACCAAATGTGAGGATTATTATTGTTATAATCTTAGCTGATGTTTCTTCCCCATAGCCCATATGCACTGAGGCTAACAGTGGATATGGCCTTCTATTTCCTAAAGGCTGAGATCAGCTAACTCAGCACTGACAAGGGCTTGAACATGGGAACAGTTTGTGTGATGCTGATTCACTTTTTACCAACTGAGCTTTTGACGAAACCTTTACTAGAACAGTATCTTGTTGTCAAAACCACTTCCTATTTCTCTTCTAATTAGAGCTGCTAATTGCTAACCTACAGCCGAATGTCAGCAAGACAGAAGCCATATTTTTGGCTCCCGTCTTCTCTCATGCGAGTCTGAATTCCTCAACCTCCCCGTTGACTAGCTGAACTCGTGCGTAATTTAGGGGTCAGGTTCAATCCCCAACTTTCCTTTCAACCACACATCGGTTACCTGACCAAGATCACTTTTTTCCACCTCCACCACATTGCCAACCTCCGTCCATGCCTCACAACCGATGCAACTGAAACCCTCTTCCACGCCTTCATCTCGCCCGGCTGAACTATTCTAATGTCCACCTCGCTGGTCTCCCCAGCTCCACCATACTCAAAATCCAATTATTTCAAAACTCTGAAACTCAAACTTTCTCCTTCAATCCCTCCGCCTTGCCCCTTCACTTCCCACCTTCAAATTCCACCTAAAGACCTTTCTTTTTGATTGTCCTTGGGGTCGTCTTCCCTCTCCCTTGCCCCCTGGCTCGTTGTCAGACTCTGCCACTGTGAAGGGCTCCGGTACAGTACCCAACGTGAAGGGAGCTATACAAATACATGTTGTTGTAGAGGCCTGACACTTCATTATAGCATCCAGGTGATGAAGTCTCATAAGGTAGTCAGCAGGGAGATCGCACTGCATGGCTGATCATGCTGCTACTTCTCTCTCATTTAGACTTTAATTTTTTTATATATCATGAAAAACCTGAGGTAAAGTTACAGGAAAATGAAATGATATAGCTTCTATTTGTGTCAATAAACATTAAAATATATCCCACCCTATTTTCCTTCTGCTGCAGCTGTTGTGAAGCCATTTTCAATGGCATTTGACATCAGTTGACTTCTTGCTTCTCACCTTCAAAGCCCTCCATGGTCTTGCTCCCGCCAACCTCTGAAACCTCCTAACCCCCTACCATCCTGCCTGCTCCCTCTGCTCAGCGGGCTCCAGCCTGCTTCATGTCCCCCGTCTCGCCCGCCCCAACATTGGCAGGCGGGCCTTATACCACTCTGCTCCCACCATCTGGAACTCCATCTCACAGTCCCTCTATCCCGCTCCCCTCCTTGCCTCTCTCAAGACCCTCCTCTTCAACCGTGCTTTCGATCACCCTGCTTCCCCCACTGCCCTCCACCCTCCCCGATCCCGAACCCCAGCTTGGGTCCGAAACTCTGACTGTCCAGCACCTTGGGATGTCCTCCCAATGTGAAAGGCATTATATAAATGTAATTGTATTGTTGTTTTTGTTGTTACACTTCTATTTCTTTTACCAGGGCTCTTGGAGTGATGTTGTAGGAAGACAACGCGTGTTACTGGTGTGCCTCATCCTGAGTGGATTGAGCTATGGTCTACTTGGTATTTCATCCAGCATCTTTCTCTTGATATTGGCTAGGATTCCCATGGGTGAGTGTGTAACGTTAACATATATGGGCCCTCTACTCATTGGTATGCAAACTATTTGCACTATGCCTGCGGCTGAAAATAAAACTTCAAGAGATTCCTATAAGTAATATGAGCTCTTTAACCTCAACAAAACACTTCAGAAACAGATTTTTTTATGGCAAACAGTGCCCTATGATTTGGTTTTGCAGAGATTTGATTTAGGTGTGTTCTCACTGGGTTTGAATCGTATCAATTTTTTTTGTAATGGATGTTGGTTTGGGGACCTTGACATTTCTGGGATATTTGCTCGTGGGGCACATTTCATTCCATCTCCAGCTGCTGAATTCAAGTCCTATATATTTCTTTACTTCTTACTGGTTGAAACAAAAAGTACATCATTCAGGATGACTGGTGTCTTTTATCAATTTCTGTTTTTGTGTGTGTCCTGTGGTGCTACGTTAATGAACACATAATTCAATTAACAGCATGGTATGTTTTGCTTGAACGGGACATTAATGGTATGTCACACCATGTGACAGTTTATATTAATAGCAAAGATCATTGAATGGAGTGAACTATGTAGAGTGCATAACTGCTATAGAGTTTCTTCTGTAAGACTCCTACCTAACAGTGGTGCTGAAACATGTATTTAATTTGAAATTTAATTTGAAGAAAATTATAGTTGGAAAATATTATTGGCCAAATTATTTTTACAATGTATGGTAACTTTATGCCATTTAACAGCAATAATTTGTGTAGTAGTAGCAGCTTTTACATAGGATGAACACCTAGAAGCTCTTCGTTTCAGATATTCTCATTTCACGTGACTTTCTAGAGCCTTGGGACACCCTTCCGATGTGAAAGGTACTATACAAATGTAATGTGATGGGATTATGGAGTTTAGACGGGGTGGGTATATGAGCAGAGTTTTGAATTAGTTAGATTTTGTGGATAGTGGAGCTGGGCTAGTGAGACCGAGAAGGAGAGCATGGAATAGTCAAGGAAGTGACAAAAAGCATGGACTTTTAGCTGCGTTGGGTGTGGGTGTTAAGTATGCTGATGGGTTTCCGCAAGTGTCAGACACACAGCCAACCAAAAAAAAGCACAGTTAAAATTCGTTGACTTTCTGTGTTGTTTAATGTGTGTATCCTAACACTTCCTGATTTTGTGTAATTCCAGGTATCTTCAAGCAGACTCAATCCATTTTAAAAGCTATTCTTTCAGACCTGGTTTCTGATCAAGACCGCACTCAAGTGTTGGGAATGCTTAATGGGATGTCCAGAATGGGATTCATTCTGGGGCCTGTTCTTGGTGGATATCTTGTTGAGTTGGATGGGGGCTTCTACATAAATTCCTTCATTTGCAGTTTCATTTTTTTCCTAAATGCAGGTATGTTTCCTTAAGCATGCACTCTATAAGATGAACCCGGGTACAATTAAGTGCAATAACATTTACATTTAAAGATGCAATTATTCAGATGTCAGCCTGGCTTAGTTGATAAACCTCTGAGTCACAGGGTTGTGGGGAATGGGGACCCTTGCTGTGCATAAATTACCTGCTGCAATTGACCTACAAAATACAGACACCACAGTTTGCAACAAATCCTGTCACTTTGAGATGTCCTTCTAGCATGAAAGGCACACCAAAAGAGCTCTTTTATATTATAATAACAGTGTTGTGCTATATTTCACTGTTGCTCTGACAAATAACCTCAGTGGTATATTTTCTGTATTTAGCTCATATTTAATCGTTAATGATAGTTTATTCAATGGATCTAGGCTCCACCACTCTAAAGTGACTTTTTTAGTTTTTACAAAATACAAGCACCATCATGTCCCAGGTTATAGAACATGTTGCCACTTGGATGGAATCAGCACATTCTCTTCTGTTGATTCCGACCCAGATCCTCATAACTTGATATACATCTCATACCTGTCCAGGCAATGCTCCCAATTGCTCTGCACTGGCTGCAAATGTTATACCGTTTGCTCTTAGGTTATTTGTTCTTGGTACTTTCAAAAATATCACTTGGTCTATTTTCTACATCTCACTTTACCATATTTAAATAATGATCACATCTCGTCGTAAGCAAGCAGTACAGACAAACAATGCCATTCTTTCTTACTAGCCGGTCAGGACACATTGTCAGCCTCAGATTTCCTGGGCAAGAATAGTGTGCAACCAGTACACTCCATAGCACTGGGGTGTTCCCTTTGCCACATTCCTTCTGAAGGAGTAATGTGGTTGTAAGAGCCTCTGGAGACAACAGGGCCACTTATGTTATGTTGCACTGCTGACATCAGTGCCAGAGTCACATTATAAATACAGCATAACATACTGTACCCACCTAACCTGCTCGAACAGAGCTTTCTGTTCTTATGGTCACTAATATTGTTTTTATAAGAGTTCTTAAATGTCCTTTTCTCTGCATTATGAGAGCAGCCTGGTTAACATCTCAGTGTTTTAGTTCACAAACGACTGTTTATGGGAGGTCGCTGTGCGCTGCATTTCACCCACAAAATGTATAGTCACTACACTTTACAGTATATTCTGTGAAGAGTTTTGAGATGTTTCAAAGACATAAGGACTATTTGAAATGCAAAGATTATTATTATTAGAAAGACGCTGGTGCAGATAAGCACCTCAAGAGTGACTGGCTTGCATTTTATAAATTAGCTTGCTTGAACCATAATTTTAAGATGTTAAAGTGTAGCTTGTAAACTATTAGTTCATTGGGAGTGTGACAGCACTAATGTGAGGATCAAGTGGTATTTCTTTCACCCACAAAATACACAATCAGTTCATCTTACAGTCTATCCTGTGAAGCGATTTGAGACGTCTCAACAATGTGATAGGTGTTATATGAGATGCAAGGATATTATTAAGTATCACTCCCTGCAAAATCCATCAGACATAAATGTATTGGCCAATTATCAGCTTTCAGTTATTGGATGGTTAAACGGTATATTCCTTGTACTGTTAGTTACCAGAGTCATTGCCTACATTAGTCTGTTATTGGGAAGGTATTTTATTTCATTCTGTGTTGCCAGTATAGGTGCTGTCTGGTGTTTACCATATAAAGAATGGCTTCACAGTCAAGAAACTTCACTGCACTCAACAGCAGAAGTGAAAGAAAATGAAGAAAATTGCACTCCTTTATTGAATCAAAAAAAGAGGAATAGAACTGTAGGCTATTTGGTTATGAAAGCCAATGGTACGCGGAAATCAAAGACATCTCAATCCCTCTGGAGCCAATGTCTGTCGGTGGGACAAAAGATACAGGGGGTGGTTTGTTCAAATCTTTGGGATGTGTTTCTTGTAAGGTTTTTGATGTCCCTCGCTGTCCTCCTTTACTACAACAACTTTTTTTTGGCTGTTGAAGAAAGATTTGGTGTATCTCCCAGGCTGATCGGGTACCTCATCAGTTATGGTGGAATGATTGGAGCGCTGTCAGGTTTCACAACTGGGTACATCACTAGGCTGTACAACAACAACATCCATTTGATGAAGTTACATTCAAGCATCCTCACGTTCTCAGTTCTTCTGCTGTATTCCATCACTACTTCCATTTGGGTAGTTGTGTTTTGTACGACTGTTTTTAATTTTTCAACCACTATTGGTTCCATGTGTACCACTGCCATGGAGCTAAGCCGAGACGAGAGCCAAGCCAGAGGGACACTCATAGGAGCTGGTCAGTCAGTGACTGCTGTTTCACGTATACTTGCCTCAATCCTTTCAGGGATTGTTCAGGAATTCAATGTGTGCGGGCCCCCAAAACTCGGGGCAGCTTTAGCTTTACTGGCTATCTTCATCATGATCATTGTTCAGGCAGAGCTTAGGCAAAACACCAAGATTAAGTTAAATTAAAGAAACTCAGAAATAAATTCTTGTGTTAAGTGAAATGTTCGAGGAAATGCTTTGATGAAAGTGCAAAAATGTGGTTTTTCTTTCCATCTGCTTGGTTTTAACATGTGGTTAACAAGAGCACAGAGTGAACATACGAAATAACAGCAGAGATCTTATTGTGGGCAATGTTATTTCATCAAACTGTGCTACCAATGGGAGATCAAACCCTGATTCTCCAAATGACAAATGCAAAATCAAACCCAAATCCAAGATTAATATATTTAGTTTTAAAAAGGAGAAAGAGCACAGGGTGTAATAAATCATGAGAGTACAATTTGAGTGAAATATGAAGTTCAAGTGAAACCAGGGATTCTTACAGCCTTAACTTCACTGCTAGATGTTTCACTAACAAATTCATGTTAATATCTCCACAACAAACTCAGCCAGCCAGTGGCTAGGCTGCAAGGTTTCTTTACTGTTTCTGGGTTTCTGGGTCCTGCAGGGATTTTCTTGATGTAGTCCCAGGATAAAAAGGGAGCTCAGGTGGTCCGCTTACAGCTTTTGCATCATCCAGGCTCCACTCCTTCTCAAGTACAATACAAATTCCCTTTAGAGCAGGGGTGGGCAAAAGACTGCCCGTGGGCCATATCCAGCCCACCAAATGATTCTATCTGGCACGTCATTAGCAGGCTCCAAAACTACTGATCATAAAATTAGAAGAAAAACAACCACTTGCGTTTATATAGCGCCATTCTCTCAGGGTCATATTTCGAAGCGCTTAGATTTCTTTTGCACTAATCTACTGCTATACTGGAAACATTGACCAATTTGTAGCTATCATCCAGGGGAATATGGGGAGGGGTGATGGAAAATCCTGGAAGTGGTCAGGACATCCTCTGGTGACATATCTAGAAAAGAAAAAATTGTAAGCGAGTCGTGGACAGTCACCTCTGAATGTCGGACTTTGGTCGTCCGATACCTGAGCCAGCCAAATCTACACTAGTCCAAGTAATTCATCAGATTGCCTAACTCATGAATAAATTTGGAGGCAAAGACTTGGCATTAAGGACTGTGATTCTGCCGGCTTGTCTCATGTTAATTCGCCAGCCAATTTCCTAATGGGTAAATATATTAGGATTAGGGAGGAGGCCCCAAAGTGTTTGATGTCCCAAAGGCTGATAATGTAGTACCAGCTGGAAATCCAGACTTTGATTGGCAGACTGTCCAGTTTGAGTGGTTTCCAGCTGTACCCTCAATAGGCACTTTGTTCTGCCGAATGCTTTGCTATTTTCCAACTAGCAGTTGTATTTTCTGAGCGCAGGTAAGTATTGTAGATGAGTGTGTACCAGATAGGGATTGAGCAGTGTAGAACTCGCAAACTATTTTTCATGTGAAGGGGTTTCAGTGGTTGAAATTAGGGGATTTAAGTATAGTCCTGGAATGTGCATCAGACTCAAAAAAAGACGGAAGGGGCAATTCGATAGAGGTGTATGAAATGAAAGGTTTAGAACATTTGGATGCAGATATGTTTTTTTCTGGCATGTGAAAAAAAGAATAAGGACAGCAAAAGCGTCCAGGAAATGCGGGAGAATTTTCTTTAGTAAAAGGGGAGAGGTAGATGGAACAAACTACCAGCTCAGATGGTTAAACAAGAAAGTATAGGCCCAAAACTCCACCTTGCATTAGTCTTTGTGTTTAAGAACTGCAGAAAACCAACTTCTAAATGAATACTGATTTTAGGTATTTTCAACAATTCTGTGCGATCTTAAATTTTAAGGCAAAATGGTTTCTCAGGGTAAGATGAGGTGTAATTTCAATGGTTTCAAAATGAACTTGACAAGTTCCTTCCTTTGAAATAATAAATAATATTCCTTGCATTTAGCAACTAGCTATGTCAAAACAACTAGCTTTACATACAACACAATCATTAAAGAAAAGTGAAAGTGTAATGTTCAAAAATGTTGATCTGCATACTCGCAAGAATTATTTCATTGAAAATTCATAAGGAAACTTGAAAAATGCTGCACATTATATAAATGGCATTATGTTTGGAAGACGAAAAATGGATTTATTTTGACTTTAAAACATTTGTTGTTTTGTGGAAAAAAAGAAACCAATATGTGTACATCACTCATCTGCAAAGATCATTAACTGCCTCTTCTTTATCCAGAAAGGTGCATAGTTTCCATATTTTCGGAGTAATCTTGCAAGCTAAGTTTAGGTGGGATTTTAGTTCTTTTTATTTTAAATTGTAAATGTGTTTGTAATGGAATCATTTTATTTGTGCTTTAATTAAAAATAAAATCCATACAACTTTCTTTGAGTTTGTGGTTGTGTTTTAACCAAGTGATTGGATAAAATAACTAGCTTTACACACACTTGTTAGAACAGTGAAAGTCTAATGTTCAAAGATGTTGATCTGCATACTCTCAGTAACTATTTAATTGAAAATTCATAAGGAATTTGTAAGTTCTGCGCAATATATAAATGGAATTATGTTTGAAAGAAGTAAATGGATTTCTTGTGGCTGTTACAGAATGATTTATAAAGAAATAATCGGTGTGGAAATATATGATACAAACTCAGGGTGACCGATAGGCAAATCCAAACAAATTTACACAAGATCACACACTGCAAGTCACGTCAACACAAGGTATTACCATTGGACTGGGTGAATTGTTCAGCTCTAAAATACACTTGCAGATTCCCAAGTGAATTGCATGTTACAGGAGTGAAAAGGTTTTGTTCTGCTTAAATTGCTAAAAGGATTATGGAGGGAGGACTTGTTGGTTGTCTTAAACTCCCAAAAGACAGGATTTGGAATGTTATGTTCTTGCATATTGAGGTCACACAAATAATCCTTCCATCTCTCACTGTCTCATTGCAAGTTGCGAATGTGCTTCCTTACAAAAGATATAACAATCCCTCCCCCACCACACTTGCTTGATAACCTCAGTACTAAATAAGTATCCTCGGATTTGATATAACCCCTTGCGCAGCAGGAAGATGTCTCAAACTGTTTCATAGGATTTATTGTAAAGTGCAGTGACTGTATTTTATAGGTGATGTTGCAAATTGGGAAATCAGATCATAGAATGTTTCAACACAGAAGACAATCATTCAGCCTGTCATGACTGTGCCAGCACTTTGTAAAAGATCTGTTGAATCCCACTCTGTGCCATTTACACAAAACACTAAATCTCAAAGTTTAAACTATTGTTCTGCATCTGAACAATATATATTCTATTTATTACAAGTTTGCGTAAACAAAATCTCAATTAATCTTTTCCTATTGTATATGGAAAATCTACATTTTACAGTCATTGCTGAAGATTTTTTCAACAAAAAGTGACACCAAAAACAACTTTATTTAAAGGGCCTTACTCCCGTAGGGAGGACTGAGCATTTATAACTCATAACTTTCAACTCGTGTAGATTTTCATCACATGTTTAAAAAAACAGAAGTAAAGTTCTCTAAAAATATTGCATAGCATAAAATTGAGATGATGCAAGAATCAGGTATTGAATCACATATACTATGGTGGTAAATTAATGGTACTTCACAATACATTTGATGTGATAATGATGCCCACAGACAAAATAGCAAATGTCAGGTCCCAGAATCTGGACAGAAATTTAGCGGCCGCCTAGGGTTTACTTAAGCACCAACTCTTAAAGAGTCCACCAACTTTCTGAGCCCTCAGAGTAAAACATTATTTTAAACTGTTATGAATAAAATATTGTTTAAGTAGTTTAGTTTACATTAAACTAATATTTAGTGTGGATAACTGAACATCATCGAATCCACTGAAATGTTCTATGCAGTGCAGCAATCAATCATCACTATTTTGGTCTTCTATGCAAAGGATCTGCTGTTTCAGCATTTTCAGGGACTTTCAGGATCTGATGTCCAACTGACCGGTGGGGAGTCAACAAATCCTTGCCGGCTTCTCCCTCTCTCCTGACCTTGCTCATCCTGTGGACTCAGGGTACCAAACCTTGTCCTTGGCATCAGTGCTCTTCTTTCACTACCAGCATTACTTTGGCTTGTTACACTGTCACTTTCGGCATTAACCTTTCGACTCCTATTTTGCCGTTCCACTTCATTCCTCCACTCCATTCTGAATGAAGCCTGTCTTGGCGACGATCCCAGTTTAGAATTTTTCCTTGAATCCAATTCTAAATCGCTGTTATGACCCGCTGATGAGAAAGAAGCTAGAACAAGAGCGAGTTCATAACTGGATTATATGCAATACTCACTATTAACAGACGGTAGAAGTGGTGAATGGATTCCAATACAATTCCACAGAGGAGCTCCCATGCGTCTGCACTGCAAATCGAACATCCTTCGCTCAAAAGCATCTTTGAATTTACTTTTACATCGTTTGAAACAAAAATCTTAAATCATTTCATAAACATGGATACCATAGATTCAGGTTATTTCAAAGTTTAAAAAAAATCTGTGAGGTTGAATTTCGTATAGCTGTAGCCCAGCATGTATTACCTGTAATATTCAGGTTCCTTTTGTTTGGTTTAGAACGAAGCCTGGTGTTACGAGACTGATGATTTGTAGCACGCGGCTGTAATGCCAGAGAGAGAAATCTCTTTAGTAATAACATTCAAAACAGCCTCATACAAGCTTTTTCATAAACCTAAATACTTCTTTTAAAAAACAAACTAAAGATACAATTAGAAATCTATGCTATTCTCTTTTTTGTAAAAAAAAGAAACTTCTCTCAACTCCTTGGACAGTGACAGACAGCTACATCCTCCCTGTACCTCCCCCCAAATGGCATTCTTCATTTGTAATCAGCAAGCTATTTTTCTGTGAAGTCATCACAAGCTTAATTTTATCCTCACTCACTATGCATAAACACACCTTTGAGCAGAGATGATAGGATAGTTTTTATGAGTCTGATTTCCCATCTCCCTCAGGAACATTAAGGTCACTATTACGCTTGCTGAGATTAACTAAGTCAGTCCACTGGAGATTCAACCCTTTATATAAGCTTGCCTTCAGTTAGTAGCACTCTTTTGTATCAGAAGATCATGGGTTCAAGTCCCATGACAGGACTTGACCTTACAATTCAGGCTGACTCAAGGACAGCACTGGAGGATTGCAGTGTCATCAGAGGTTGAGGTTAAGTTAAATGTCCCATTGTTTGAAAAGAGAAGAAAGTTGTTCATGGTCTCCTGGGCCAACGATCGTCCAGGTAAGATTCTGTTCATTCACTGTGTAGCTATTTGTGGGACCTTGCTGTACGCAAACTGACTGCCACATTTGTCTACAAGAATATAACCACACTCCACAGTACAGTAATTACAGTAAAGCACTTTGAAATAAGGTAATATGAAATACCAATTTATATTTTTATAGCGCCTTTCACCCAATATAAAATGCAATGTTGGGTAAGTTTCCTTACTCCACAATCCTCTGTTTACCTATCAGTAAGTAGGAACCTGGTTGTTAGTCGATTAGCGGATCGCTTTTCCGGGGATAATAACTCCTTCAAAAAATAGTAATTATAATAAGTTGGTCACTCAATCTACGACTGTTTGTGGGACACTGCTGTACACAATTGGCTGCCACGTTTCACCCACATAATAGTCAATTCACTTTACAGTATATTCTGTGAAGCACTTTGAGACGTCTCGAAGATGTGATAAGGCACTACATCAAATGCAAGGATTACAAGTTCTTTCCTGTAATGATTAAATTTCCCACTAGATGGTGCACTTACCCATTGCAGCACTATGGACGTTTGTATGAAATTAAATTTGTATTTAGGAATCAGTTTAGAGGAGAATAAGTCACCATTAACATTGATCAATCCTTTTCTTCCCCCATTTCTGCTTTCAACACTGCAGGTAGAGTTGAACTCTAAAGGCGGTAAATAAAAATAGTCCTTGCTTTTAGTAAAATGCTTTTAATGTCAGAAAAATGTCTCAAAGCACTTTGTAGCACTTACTGTAATGCCTATATTTTGTAGATGAAACTGTATTTTGTAGGAGTGAGGTAAGAAACTGCTACTCAAGCTCCAACTGGTGGAAGCATCGCCTAATGGGAAGTGATGCTTGTCTGCGTTGCAGGCAAAATGGTGGTGGCAATGCTCTCATGCATTTAATGCTGAGCAGTGTTGCTCACCAGGATGGCTGCGTAACCAGCCTGGCTTATTGGCAGGATTTGGAAGGGCAGATCAGTCACTGGGGGCAGAGATTCTTCCCACTCAGCTCCTGTTAGCCCTGCAAGCCAAAGCCCTAATGGGTAGGATGGTCCTAGCTGTTAGGCAATGGGAAAGCTTGCCAGACAGCGCTTTCAATGCCAACCTATGCAGTTTTAGTTGATTGGACTCTAGCAGTCCTAGAACACACGCTCTGGGGTCCCAAAATCTTGGCTCTTGCCAACCTATATCTAATAGTCTCCAAAATTAGGCAAGCAGGATGAGTCTCTTCAGGAAACAGTGTTCATTCCATTTCATTAAATATCTTTGGAATTTCCATGTATAGATGAGGTGCATGGAGCTCAGTTTGGTTTTGGAAATTCTTGCATGGTGATGGGTTTCCACATGTGTCAAACATCCAGATGACCAAAAATAAATTTATAGCTGAACGCTTTGAGATATCCCCCTGATATGAAAGGCACTATACCAAATGAAAGGATTATTTTCTACCTACACAAGAATTAAAAAGAAACAATTTATTATTCTGTATAATCCTGGTTTCACTTGGAATTCCCAATTTAACAGGTCTAAGCACTAGGTAGGAACCCAGTTGTTAGGAGATGGGGGATTGCTTTTCTGGGGATAATAATCCTACCAAAAGAAAACACAATATAATTTGGGCACTCAATCCACGACTGTTTGTGGAACACTGCTGTGCGCAATTGGCTGCCACATTTCACCCACAAATATACTGTCAATTCACTTTACAGTATATTCTGTGAAGCGCTTCGAGATGTCTATAATAATAATAATCCTTGCATTTGATATAGCGCTTTTCACGTCGGGAGGACGTCCCAAAGCGCTTCACAGAACACACTGTAAAGTGAATTGACTGTACATTTGTGGGCGAACGCGGCAGCCAATTGCACACAGCAATGTCCCACAAACAGTCGTAGATTGAAAATGACCAATTTATTATTGTTTTTGGTTTTGGAGGGATTATTATTAGGCGTGTGGAGTTAGGAAACTTGCCCAAGGTTTCGCCCTGCCTGGAATTGAACTCAGGTCTCTCGCTTGTAAAGCGAGTGCTCTAACCACTGAGCTATAGGACTCCACAGAAGATGTGAAAAGCGGTATATCAAATGCAAGGATTATTATATTGCTTTTATGGCTGTAAAGGTGTGTGAAAGTTCTCTTACACTCCGGGCTTGCCCAGTTTTCCGCATACTCTCCCGCAGACTCTCATGGCGTCGAATTAGGATTTCCTTAGCCTGATTCTCAGAGGCCTCTTCCGGCAGAGTGTGCTTGTTGTATGACAGCGCCTGAAATGCAATGCCACAATATATGAAACCCAGCCAATGCACAAATTCTTTGAAGACCATTACTTCTCAAATGCTGACTTTGAATGTAAAACATCCATTACATAATACGGAGTGCCCACTTTAAATCTAATCTTCTGAGCTCTGCTGTAGTTTTCTGGTGAAATCTAATGCCATAATGTTACAGCTTTTCATCAGAAATCATTGCCATGGCTTCTTTTTCATGATGTATTCTAGGTAGAATAACAGTATTGTGAACAGCTTGTAATCATGGCTGGGCTGTCTCACATGTGGCACATTCAAAGCTATTATACAAACAGCTGTATTGCAGCTGCTGCATTGCACTGCACCTGAGTGGTTAAGATATGGGTCAGCACCCACAAGTCCCACACTCTTCCCTGTATCACTGCAGGGAAGTAAGGAGCAGAGGTTCCCTGGAGGTGGAATTGAAAATCAGAGGAAAAGAAACAACACCAGACAGGTCACCGACCATCCCTCTCAACTGCAATGAATACACAGCACAATGCTGCCAGGTTCATATCTGTATCATACCTGTAGATACCCTCACTCTAGATTTTGAAATTGATGGCAGCTAGTTAGCCGATGGAAGCTACATGCAGACAGATAGATAAAACAAGAAAGGACAAGCTTGTAGTGCATTAGGCTGCAGACAGGTTTTATCTCCTCCCCCAAGACTGCTCTTGATGTTACAGGACATAAAGCCATAAACTTCATAAACGCATCACTGTGCATTTCTGGCTTCCAGATTGTTAATCTTACCCTCTGTCTTGTATTGTACAGATTTTTGGCCAAGATTTCTTTAATTTTCTTGAGTTCTTCAGGAGAGAAGCCGCTTTCTGGTTTCTGCTTCTTATTCCTGTTGCATTTAAAATAAATAATTTATCAAGAAGCAGCAAGCAACAGGACAAGCAAGTAATATGTTAGAATATGATATATGTAATGAAACGCTTTAAGGCAGGGCCGCATAAAATTGTAAACTTTAAGTTGTTAATCTTGTTTATATGAATCAAAATGGCAGCACCATTTTGTACTCAAACCATCGCTCAACATCTGTTAATAACATAAGTTGTTTTTGTCTGGTTAAGAAGAAATGGTCAACATGAAATGTTGAAGTAAGACAATCATTGGCCTTGGGAGGATACAAGCTGTCAAAACACCCAGTTCTTGGGATAAACAGAAGTAACAGCGCGCTTGACTATTTGCGCAGTTGTGAAAGGCCTACGTGCCTGATAATTGATTGGATGAACAAAAAGGTATAAAGTTGAAAGATTGTTGACATAAAGCAGCAGAATCAGCAGGGAACCAGGCCCACAGAGGTGGAGTGCCAAAGCACACTGACTGCTCCAGAACCGGGTAGTATATATTTTATGTATTCTTGCTGTGCTTATATTTAAATAAACTGAGTTAGCCACAAAACGTTATTGTCTGGTCTTTTGACTCGAACACTGGGAGTTGAGATCCCAATAAATAACAATAATCATTGCCCTTCCATGTCATGCCCATGAGCCAGGCTGCCTGGGCCTGGAGTACCTCGGACTCGCCTGGCTCAGGAACTGGACTACCAAGACTGCCACGGATAGTGGGCTTGATAGTTTTCAAGCGAAATATACCACCTTGGAGCCAGTCCAATTCCAAGGATACCCTGCTTTCCTCCAACCTCCCTGTGCAGCCCCCCAAATGGAGGATAGTCACCAGTTAGTCATTTAACATCTGACAAGTACAGCTTTGTACCCTCACTAGGTGGATGGCAGATACCATGAACTGCCTGCAACCTTCTGGTGGGCAACACATCTCAGCATGAAATTAGTGAGAATTGGCACCCTCTTACTGTCTGCAGCTCAGAAACACTTCCCTTCATATTTGAGTGCTTGTTCCACCATTTGGAGGTTGTGTAAGTGCGTAAATAGTATAAAGAACTGACATAAAAATCATTCATCCCTTAAACTACTCACATTACAACATAGGTTACCAAGCAGAACAATTTCTTGTATTATTACCTGAAACTAAAAATAAATGTACGGCTCTACTCACAGGAGGTTAGCAGTTGACGACACCTTACTCAGTTGTCCTGTCTCAACCAATTCAATAGCCTGTTTGAGTTCCAGCTTTTTATACAAAGAAACAATGCTAGATGTTGGCTGGTTTTCTCTGATCAGAAGCTTCGATAAGAACTTGCGATCAAACTGTTTGATTCTGGGAGGAAACAGAGAGAAAAAAATGAACTAGTGCACAAGATGCTGACAAGTTAGAACATTGAGTAAATGCAGTCGTTCTTTCTTCCATTCACATGTCCCTGATTAAAAGCTGTCGATGAAATGGCTCAGTTGGCAAAGCCCCAGTTGGCGAAAAGCTTCTGAAAATATTAAATTAAGCAACAAAGATCACAAAGATCCCTGGGGTCTATGCTCAGTAATTAATCTCAGCCAAAGTAGCGATAAGCATACTACAACTGGCTCTAGTGTTCTGTGTTCATGAGGGAGAGAGAATAAAATTCATTTCGGTTTTTGCTCCTGATTACTATCTAGTGATACCTTCATGGAAATTATACATCTGAGCTCACTGGTGAGGATAAGATCAGATTTAGCAGTCAAATAGCCCAACAAGCAGTGTCTTGACTCAACAACAAGAGTCTTGCATTTATATTGCGGCATTCACAACAACAAAATTAAATTTGTAAAGCGCCTTTCACGTTGGGAAGACATCTTTCACGTTGGGAGGACATCTCGATGCGCTGGACCGAGAGAGTTACGGACTCAAGCTGGGGATCGGGGTGGGGGAGGGTGGAGAGCGGGGGGGGGGGGAGTAGGAATATCGAAAGCACGGTCAAAGAGGGGGGTCTTGAGGTGGGTCTTGAAGGTGGGTCTTGAAGGTGGGGTAGTGTCTCAGAGTGCACTCATCATACATGAAGATGCCCACTTTCTTACTTTCTTTAGGTACCAGATGGCAGCCTTTGGGCTATGACTTCAAAAGAGAAACAAAAAAAGCAAGTGGTTTCATGAGCAATGCCCAGACAAATGAACCTGTTCAATGTAGTGCTTGGATTAACCCTCAGTTCAAGTCATCTCATCTAGGTGTGATCACATTGACAGTACTGTTGCCAAAACATCTTGTCTTATGATGGTGGGTCTATGGTTGAACACCAAAATATTTAATCCAGTGGATTGTACATCATTACTTTTGGTTGCTCTTCCTTCTACATCGAATAAGCAAAATAGTATTCAAAGGCAAATTGTCCATAGGTAGTCCATATGAAAGTTTCTGCTAAAACTATAGGATCTATAAGTTCCCTAGAGGGATCCATTCTATGGGGATTTACTTATCTTTCTCAGGTGAGGGGGGTGGGGGGAAGACGTTCTTTGATCTACTAATCAAAGGACCTCGGTGGTCTGATTGAAATCAGGAGTTCTAGATGTGAACATACGACCCAAACTGTTACAACATTACTGAAGAAGACTCCACACTGCACCAGTAAGCTACTGAGTAACTGACACTACCAGCAAGAATGTAAGGCCATAAAGAAATTCATTTTTAGCCTGACATCATTTTAGTTTCCAAAAACAATGCTAATCCAATAGAAAACAAAGTTTTGCAAAGCTGGCATAATAAAATACTTTTAAAATAATTAATATTAATATTAATTAACATTGAGAGAACAGAAAAAAATAACTTATTTCATAACAAATCAATGCCTGCAAAATATATCCCAAGTTGTTATTCATTAACTTATAACTTCATACATTAACTCTACTGAACACTAAGGGTATTGAGAGGTCTTAGGCACTCCTAGCTCTTAAAACCTAAACACTTCTAAAAATATACAAGGTTATTTGATTCCATAGTTGAGTCAGCACTACAACATTCTATGTTACTCTATGGGTGGGAGTTCACAACTGGATTAGCTTTTAGAGTGACCAGCACCATTCCTTTACGAAAAAAATATTAACAACCCTCACAAAATGGCAAAAACCAACTATGCACAATACTACAAGCAAAGCAATAGATTTTAATACTTGTCTTTCCAGTAATAGTGATTCCACTGTCCACAGATATCTTCAACACCTGCCAGTAGATGATCAAGGCACTGCAGATACAAGAAACATTTTAAAGAACAGTGAATCATTAGAAAACAGTGGATTGGACTTTCATGCTAGATACGACTAGCATTCAGTAGTCACACATCAAATGATGGCAGTAATGACTTGCTGTTGAAGAAAGGAATGGGCAAATGAATGGGGGCAAATGCCAAAAACCACACAAAAAATGACTGAACCTTTTTTAATTCATATTAGTTTCACATCCAATCAACACTAAACGTGCAGTGAACGTTGAGTGCATCACTAACTCTAAAAGTTCAGCTCCACCTTCTTGTCCCCCTATGTGCGGATATTGTCAACCTCATTCTGTCCACCAGCACAGTTTCCACTCCCTTAAAAACAATTGCATTACCACTACTCAAAAAACCTTCCTTCGATCTCTCTCAGTTATCAAGGCCTATGGAATTCTAAACAACAAACAGATTGCTTAGATCCATTTAATAAATGCATCAGATTTTAACAAGAGATAAATTCAAGAAATACTCTTAAGAATTTTGCTGAGTTTTGTAGCAATAACTCTATGACCTGTACTATATAAAATCCCAAACCGTCTTATAATAATCCTTGCATTTGATATAGCGCTTTTCATTTCTTCTAGACATCTCAAAGCACTTCATAGAATATACTGTAAAGTGAACTGACTAATTTCTGTGGGCGAAACGCAGCAGCCAATTGCGCAGAGCAGTGTCCCACAAACAGTTGTGGATTGAGTGACCAAATTATTATCTATTTATTTATTTTTGGGGGGCATTATTATCAGACATGTGAAGTTTGGAAACTTGCCCAAGGTTTTGCCCTGCCAAGAATCGAACCCAGGTCTCTTGATTGTGAGGCGAGTGCTCTAACCACTGAGCTACAGGACTCCATAATAAGGTCACAATAGCTAATTTCACTTCCCATGTGCCCACCCTAATAATATTTAACCCTAATAACTGATTTCACTGCCTTTGTGCTACACAAAGCAGGAAGTGACATTGGTAGCAACCTAATGACCCATAATGCAGCCATTTTAGTACAAGAGCAGGCTAGCAAGTGACACCAGTGGGCTAGGTGCAACACATACATGCTGAATATTCCTCACAGTAACTAACTGTGTTATAAGCAAATCAGTGCTATTAAGAAGCATATTATAACAGGGCTACACTGAAATAACCAATATATTAAAAAAAAATCATTATTTATATAATTAAGGAACCTTTATTTTTTTCTGTGACATGCATGTACATATAGTGTACCCACCACCAGTTTTACACATAGTACATAATGGATCGCAGTCCCTCCATCTCGCCCCCTCTCTCACCACCTTCAAGACCCACCTCAATACCCTCCTCTTCGACCGTGCTTTCGATCTCCCTGCTTTTCCCTTGCCCTCCACACTGACCCCCAGCTTGGGTCCGAACCGCTGTCTGTCCAGCGACTTGTGACATCCTCCCGACTATACAAATGTAATTTTGTTGATGTTGTATTGCACCCTACTTCTCAGCATTAGATTGCACTACTCACTTCCAATAATGGGAAATAATACTACTAATAATAATAATCCTTGCATTTGATATAGCACTTTTCACGTCGGGAGGACGTCCCAAAGCGCTTCACAGAACACACTGTAAAGTGAATTGACTGTATATATTTGTGGGCGAATGCGGCAGCCAATTGCGCACAGCAATGTCCCACAAACAGTCGTAGATTGAAAATGACCAATTTATTATTGTTTTGGAAGGATTATTATTAGGTGTGTGGAGTAAGGAAACTTACCCAAGGTTTTGCCCTCCCTGGAATTGAACTCAGGTCTCTCGCTTGCAAAGCGAGTGCTCTAACCACTGAGCTACAGGACTCCACGAATCCAGCCCACCCACTACTCAGAGTGCTCCATGCTGAATTCAGATGCAATTATTTCTAATGATCTAGAACTTAAGCAACACTATGTAATGTACAAGGCACATACCCGAATATGAATCTCTTCACTCACTGTTGGCTGCTTTTTATGTGACTTTTTAACATCCAAAAATTCAACCAATGGGCGGATAGTCATTCCCTGGAAAGCCAACATTCACAATTTTAATATTTTTTTTCATTATTAGGATATCACAAGGTTAACTTTTACAAAACAATTTTACATTAATATAGTACCTTTCACATCAAAAGAGTCTCTCAAAGCTCTTCACAGAGCCCACTGAGAGTGTAAGCTAGAAGACTTAAAACAGGCTTTAAAGGTAGGGAGGGAAAAGTGAGGTGGATGGAGTTCCAGAGATCGAGGACGGAATGCCTGAAAGGTTAAATGTCTGAAAAGAGGAGGAATTTTTGTTTTACTGTTTTCTCACCTTCAGCCTCCTGTTATTTCATGCTGATCTAGCACACAAACACATCCATGAGGCGTATGATGCAGTAATAATCTTTGCATTTGGTACAGTGCATTTCACGGTGGGAGGATGTCTCAGAGCTTCACAGATTTTTTCTGTGAAGTGGAGTAACTGACTCTGTAGGTGAATGCAACAGCTCAACTGCATACAGCAATGTCCCACAAACAGCCATGAAACAAATGACCAATTATTTTGGGGGATTGTTGGTCGTCACCAGGATAAACTCTCTTCTTTTTGAGCAGCGCCATGGAATTATTAACGTCCATCTGATCAGGTAGATGGGGCTTCGATTTAACATTTCGTGCAAAGGATAGCACCTCCAACAATACAACATCACCCAGCACTGCAATGGAGTATCAGCTTAGACTACATGACTTCAAGTCCGTTGGGCTTGAACCCACAATCTTCTGACTCAGAGGCAAGAGTACTATCTATTTAGCCAGGCTGATGCACTTGCATAGGAAGTGCACATTATTATTTCTCTAAAGGAGTAGAGAATTAGTAATATCTCAACATTTTCACACTAGGCTATAAATTTATACAATCTTGACAGAAAGATAAGATGCAATCAAGACATGTTTCATGCTACACTCTTGTATGCAACATCAATATTTCGTATAAGGTTCACAAATAAAAGGCCAATGTAACCGAGGTGTTTTTCACTGAGTTATTCAACAACTGTTCTACTAATTGTGAGAAATAGCAGCAAAAACTTGCAGCAAACATAAGGTTAATTTTCCATTTTGTGCAATAAGAGAGATAAATTTAAGAGGGTGAAAGGTGGAATAACAATAAGGTTATTTGTGACCCATTAAAGCCGACTTCAAATCTGTCTTTGAGCTAAATGTGCAAAAGTTAGTGTGTTTAAGAAGAAGCGAAGAATGATTACACCTAAGGCTAATCTTTTAGTAATCAACAAAAATTGTGATGTTTAACCGATTCAAAAAAAAAATCAGTTAAGAACCCTTGCAAATTTCACCTCAAAATAACTTTAGGTTCTCTGGTTACCTCTACAAAGTTTAAATATGTCTGTTGATCAAGGCAGGCTCCCGTCAAATACATTTGATTAATTTTGTTGACTCACATTGGCTAAAAGCATTCAACAACAACAACAAGATTCCATCTATAGAGCGCCTTTCACGTCGGGAGGACGTCCCAGGGCGCTGTACAGTTGGGTCAGGATCTGAGCAGGGGGGAAATGGTCAGGGGAGGGAAGGGAGATCAGTTGAATGATCAATAACGACAGCTAAATCCTCACGTATAAACCCAATTTGAACCATTCTGTATCTGAATCCATCTGTTGAATTGTTCATTGACCACCACCATCATGGCTGTAACTCCTGAATCATCTAAGCAATGGCTCTTTGGAGTAATGAACCTATGATGACTAGCTTGGATTTTCCCCTGCTGAAAAAAACAATTCTACTTCACCAAGATCAATGTGTGCAGAAGTAGGGAACTTTACATCAATATTTACATAACTGTCAACAGATTTTCCAGTTCCCTATCCTCAAGCTTAGTATGTGGCCTATGTATATTCAAGCACCAGATGAGAAAAATCAATCATCTTCTGAAAGTGCCATTTGGTTCCGATATTACACTGTTAATTCTTTTTGTCAATCCCTCCGCCTTACCCAGTCCTCCTCTCCTGAAGGCATTTGCCTTTTTCCCTTCTATTAGGGCTATGTATTTTTCAATGATGATTGTAGCATTGCTGCTTGGAGTTGGCTCTTGAGAGACAGCAATGCAACAATAGCCTAAATTTAATGCATCCATAGTGGCACAAGCGTTTGATAACTCAGTGCTAGGACATTATAAATATGTGGACTTGTTTTCAAATGTCAGCAAAAGTCAATGGTTAATACATGTATTAAAAGAGATAAATTTTTACCACTTTTTCTTGTATTCTATGTCAGCATTTGGCTGACCTGCCCCACCTTAGCCTGTTAGTCTTTCGGCCTATTTGCCCCCACTCTCTGGAACTCCATCCCGGAGTCCCTCTGACTCACCCCCCACCTCACCTCTTTTAGGGACCCTCCTCTTTGACCACACCTTCAATCATCTTTTCCCTCCACACCCCCTTGGCTCCAAACCCCAGCTGGGTGCCAAGCCAAGACTGACAAGCCCTTTGGGATGTCCTCCCAAAATGAAAGGCGGTATTTAATGTAAATTTGTATTGCATTGTTTCCAAAATGGAAAGCTTATTAGTAGAATTCTACTAATTATTGGGTATAGACTAATATGTTTTATCAAAATTCAATCAGAGATGGTCTAATGGAATTGTCAAACATCCTCCTGCACAGGTAATAAATGCTAAGCACGGCGATAGGTTTCTACATGTGTCAGACAACTAGCTGACAAAAATAAAATTTAATAAAAACTTATTTCAGCGCCTTGGGACGTCCTCCCGACGTGAAAGGCGCTCTATAAATGGAATCTTCTTGTTGTTGTTGTTTTTATTTTTGCACCAAATAATTGTTTGCATGCAGAACTCTATTCAAAGAGCAGCAGGTCTGAAGCTATTTCAATTGTTACAAACGAAAGTGCGATTTACATTAGAAAAGTTTATAACCAAGAACATCTCTAACCTGAATAAAGACTGTGAAGAATATGACCACAATGGTTGACGTAATGAACAAATTCTTTCGAGGAAAGATATCAGGGGGCAGTAGAAATACTAGTGAAAAGCAAATAGCTCCACGCAGTCCACCGTAGGCAATAATAAACTGATCCTTGGGAGTGACCTTCATGGCACGGAATTTGTTAATGATCTGGGTCAGCACAACAACTCCTGAAAATAAAACAGAAGCTTGTTAGGAACTGGTGATATTTATGAGTAAAGGTTCCCATCACTTACAGACTTCCTAGAGAAAGATTACTTAGTTTGCTTATAAGCACACAATGCAATGACATACTTAATATATACACATGCATAATACATAATATATATATTGAACCATCTGCTTCCACTACTTGTGTGAGCCATGATAATGATTATGATAAAAGAAGTTTTCTTTTCAGCGTCCCTCCCTGTGAAACTTGCTTAATTGTTTTTGTTAAAGAAGATAACACCCCTTTAAGGAATGCAATGATATTTATCATGGGCTTGATTTGTTAAACTTTCATCCAAACTTTGTCACACTGCAGGTTCTTGCTACCAAATGTCCTCCTCTATAGTAGGCTGGGCTAAGCCTAAAAGTGCCCCATAACCACCACTTTGATCAAAGAACATGAGTCAGAGGATATCAAAATACATTGGGAAACACTAATACTACACCCTTACTACAGAGGTACTGCATTTCTTTTGTGATAATTTCAGACAGATCTGAGTAATAAAATCAGAATAGACTTTATGTCTTCAGCATTAATACAGTACGTTTACACTCCGGTTTAGAGACAAATAACTCAATTTCTCTTTTACCAGAAGTACGCCAAAACAAGCAGAATAAGAGGGTGAAGCACACAAAAGCCCAGTTCCACTCATGAGTCTCTGTGATGGTTGACACTCCAAGGAAGATAAATATGAGAGTTTCACTGACGTTGCTCCACATCTTCATGAAATACTTAATGGTGGTGCTGGACTTCTGTGAAACATTTTCTTCCACGTAGCGCTTCATGGTTATAGAACAGGCCACCAACCTGAAAAAAAATCAAGAGTGCAGTCACCAGTACAGCTTGATTCATCATAAAGGTTTGATTCCTCCCTTCCCATTTAACAAAGATATTTTCTCAGTCTGCAATGCCTCAGTCAATACAGTCACCTAGTGAATAATAATAAATAAACAACAACAACTTGGATTTATATAGCGCCCTCCATGCTGGATGGCGTCTCAGAGCGCTTTACGGTTTAGGATCCCGGGGCCAAGCCTGGGGGAGGGGTGGGAAGGTGACCAAAGGCGCGGTGGAAAAGAAAGGTCTTCAGCAGAGACCTGAAAATGGGAAGGGAGGGACTGAGACGAAGGGAGTGAGGAAGGCAGTTCCAGAGCCTTGGGGCATAGTGGCTGAAGATACGGCCTCCGAGGGTGGAGCGGAGAACTCGGGGGGCAAGGAGGAGGCCAGAACCAGAGGAACAAAGGCAACGGGTACTGTGCTGAGGAGACAGGAGGTCAGAGAAGGAGGGGGTGCAGAGGAGTGCAGAGACTTGAATGCGAGGGTGAGGATCTTGAAATCGATCCTCTCTGGCATAGGGAGTCAGTGCAGTCTGGTAAGGACTGGGGTGATCGGGGAGCGGAGTTTCGTGCGGGTGAGAATGCGGGCGGCAAAGTTCTGAATGAGTTGGATTTTATATATAAATAATAGCATCCTTTGCATTTAATATAGCACCTTTCACATCAAAAAGATGTCTCAAAGCACCTCACAGGGTTTACTATAAAAAGTAGTAACTGCATATTTTGTAGGCATATTCAGCAGCCAGTTTTGACAAGCAATATTCCACAAACTGCGATGAAGTGAATGACTGATTATATCTAGAAGGATTGTTGGCCAAGGCATATGGAGAAATTTCTTTCTGTTTAAGAACAATTCGGGGGAAGGGGAGATATTCCATCTTAAATCCAGATCAACACTATTTTCTTACCATTTAGAATTCTCATATCCTTGTGTTTGATACAATGCCTTATGTTATCAAAATATCTCAAAGCAATTCACGGGATTTTTACTGTAAAGTGTAGTGACTGTATATTCGCAGGTGAATTCGGCAACCATTTTGTACACAGCAATACCCTACAAATAGCCAACAATCCCCCAATTTTATTTGGGAGACTGGCTACTTCACACAGCTCTGTTTACCTAACAGTAAGTAGGAACCTGGTTGTTAGTTGATCGGCGGATCACTTTCTGAGGGGTAATAATCCCCCCGCCCCCCCAAAATAAAATTCACAACTGTTTGTGGGACACTGCTGTGTGCAATTGGCTGCCCTGTTTCATCCACAAAATATACAGTCAAAGGCACTATATCAAATGGAAAAATATTATTATTATTTTATTACTTTTTGAGCAAAGCCATGGAGTCCTGAATGTCCACCTGAACAGAGAGACAGTGCCTCGGTTTGAAGAGTGTTACTCTGATGACACCATTCCCCCCCACTCCACACCAAACTGTATTGGAGTATTAACCTAAGCTGTGTGCTCAATGTCCCTGTGTGAGTTGTTTCACTTCAACTAGGCTGTCTGGGCTGTCATCATCAGTGTCTTGGAGTACTGCAGATCCACCTGGCTCAGGAGCCAAATTACCAAGATCAGCATGGACAGGTGATTCAATTCCAAACACATCATTTTGGAGCCATATCAGCTCTGAAGAGACCCTGCTTTTCTTTCCCCCAAGAGGATAGATCCATTTATACATGTGTGAATGGATCTCAGTTATAATATTAATCCTGGCAGCTGATATAGAACCTTATCACGTCATTGAGACATTTCAAAGTGCTTCACAGAATATATGATAAAATGGATTGACTGTATTTTATGGGCAAAAACACAGCAGCCAATTGCACACAACAGTGATTTTTAAAAAATAAAGGGATTATCAACGGAAAGCGATCCTAGTTACTATTAGGTAAGCAGGTGTGCGGAATAAGAAAACTTGCCTCAGGGTTCGCCCCGCCCGGGAATCAAACCTGTTTCCTTTCGCTTGCGAAACCAATATGCTAAAGGACTTTACCACTCCTGAGATACATAGAAATCCTCTGAAGTCCTACTGTCTGGAGCAATCTATACTGCAATAAATCAATAAGAAATTTCCAGCTTGATGAAAGATAAAACTAAAAATAGGTGATTTGTGACTAGAGGAGAAGCAGGTATAGAAAGCTGTAGCTTAAAAACAGCGACTGTTTACAAACACTCACATGCACTGCAAGTGCAATCCTGTTCACTTTGGATTCTTGCCAGCCTGCATTAAATTCTCCAGGATTAGGTAAGCAAGGTGTGTCCCTCCAGGGAGAGAGTGCATTCTCTATACCGAATGAACAGACATTTCCATACATATATGGAACTCTTAGTAGTTTGGTTTGGATAGTGATAGGTTTCCACATCAGCCAGATATCCTCGACTACAAAAAAGCAGTGACCACTGAGACCACAGCTGATAATAATTTGTTGGTAGATTTACAAATGAGGTGGCATGAAGGAAATAAATTACTGAAGTAAAACTGAATGATATGCGGCATTTTGGATTGTTGGCTGGATCTATTAGTGTTGCTTGATTTTTTTCAAAAAGGGGGGGATTTTGAACGCATCTTAATTTTTCATAACTATATTCCTATGAGATTGTGGCATTTTAATTTTGGCAATTATGTACAAATAAAATTGTTATAGCACCTTATCACATTGTTAGACTGCCTCAAAGCACTGGATTTTACTGTAAAGTGCAGTGATTGTGTATTTGTATAGAAATTGCAGCAGCTCATTTGTATACAATACATGCCCCATATATACCCCGTGAAGCAAATTTATCTGAGAGATTGTTCATGAGGACACCGGGAGAAACTGCCTTCTCTTTCCAGTTAGTGGAATGGGATTATTAGTGCCCCCTGAACAGGCAGTCAGGATCTCAGTTGAAAGTTTCAGGCGAAGGACAGTGCCTCCAATAGTGCAGCACAACCCCAGCATTGTACTGGAGTGTCAGCCTAGATGAGGAACTAAAAGTCCTGATGTGGGGCTTGAACCCACAACCTTCTGACTCAGAGATGAATGCTACACCTTATGCAAGTACATAGGTGTTTTCGCCCCCAAACTTTCAGTGAGTCAGATCAGGCAGTGTTATATGTAGACATAACTAACAAGAAATTCCACCTGGGAGTGGATTTACTTTGTTTATATAGCATTTTAGAGCAGCCAGAATTTGACAAATTATTGAATTCTTAAAAGAATTTGCCAAAAAAATTAAGCATTTGCCAAATTCTGGATATTTTAAAATGCTTCATAAATAGTGTAAATCTTAACCCAGGTGGAACTTCCCCCAAGATTCATAGTCCAAATTTATTATAATTTCAATTACAATGAGTCAACTCAACCACACATTCATCACGTCCAGGCTTGACGAAGCTAACGCCCTGCTGGTCAGCCTTCCCAACAATTCCCTCCACAAATTGCAGATCTCTCAGAACACTCCAGCTTGTGTCCTCTTCTGTGACCCTTTCACCACTTCAACACCCGGCTCCACTGGCTCTCCAACCCCCCAGAGGATAGAGTTTAAAATCCTAGTCCTTACCTTCAAAGTCCTACATGGCCGTGCTCCTCTCTACCTCCGTGACCTGCGAACTGTAAACTCTGTGAACTCCATAAAGACCTGTCCACTCCCTCCACTAGGCGGGCTTCGGTCTACTTCATGGCGGTCTGTTGTTCAGCGTCTCTGTCCTTTGCCCTTTGGAACTCCATCCCACAGTCTCCTTCAAAGCCGATCTCAAGACCCTCCTCTTCGAACACACTGGTCACCCTCCTACCCATACCCCTCCCTATCCTCCACCCTGCCTGATCCCAACCCTCAGCTATGGTTCAAATCCCTGAATTTCCAGCATCTTGGGATGTCCTCCAGACATTAAAGATGCCATACAAATGTAATTTGCTGTTGTTTTGCTCTTTTACTAATTACTTTAAATCTGTACTTCTCGTTACTGACCAAAAACCTAATTATCAAAAACCCTCAATTTTACAAACTTCTATCATAGAATTACAGAAATTTACAATGCAGAAGGAGGCCATTCGGCCCAGGGAGTCTGCATCATCTCTCAGAGCAAATCAGGTCTCCTCTTAACCTTCTCTGTTCCAGGTAAAACAATTCCAGTTTCTCCAATTTTTCCTGCTTCAATTTGCATTCTTGTGAACTCTACCCACCTTTTTATGTCCCGAGGGAGGCATTTGCGTACGCAGTACACAGACACTAAACTTTACAGTAAATCCAGTCCAGTGCTTAGAGATGTTCTCCCCTGACAAGAGTCTCTATATCAAACCTCCATTAATACAACAACCCTCCAGCACTGTAATCCTATCAACTATATATTTTTTGGTCAGCCAGGTGTCTGACAAATGCAGAAACCCATCGCCATGCTTAAGAGTATCCAAACTGAGAATCCCATGCATCTCACCTACACATGGAAATCTCAGAGATAGATTGTTGGAATGGAATGCGCTTACCTAATTCTGGAAAGTATTAGGTTCAGGATGGCAAAAACCAAGGCTTGGGGACCCCAGAACTGTTGGGATACAGCTGAAGTCTAACCAGCTAAAACTGCAGATTGCCATGGATAGCACTGTGGCAAGCTTCCCCGCTGCTTGTCCAGGCTAGGACCACTGTACCTTAGGGCGTTGGCTTACAGGGATAACAGGAACCGAGTATGAGGATTCCCTGTCCCCAGTGACTGATCTGCCCTTCCAAGTCCTACCAATGAGCCCGGATGGTTGTGCTATATAAATGCAATTTGTTGTTACTGCCATCATCAGCAATGCTCTGGAGTACTGCAAACCCACCTGGCTCAGGAACTGGACTACTGAGACCATCACAGAGAGATGGATCGATTCCAACATTCCATTGCCAAACATGTCACTTTGGTGCCAGTTCAGCTCCAGCGAGACCCCGCTTACCTCTCTCCCTCCCCCCGTCCGTCCCCCACCCCGGAGGATATCTATAATAACAAAATATTAATA